GCCCTACCCTGTTGAGTGTCTATGAGGCATTTAAACATTGGCAAGTGTAGATTGGGCCTTTTCAGGGTTCCACCAGCATTTGATCCAGGAGTCCTAGCAAGACCAGTGTAAATGGGAACCACATCTTTCCACTCCCTGTTGGAGGCGGTGTAGCATAATGTTTAAGCACTTTGTGCGAGAGGGACCTGGGTGTGCACCCCATCCACCCCATCTTTGCTTTCTGATAGTAGTGTGGCCTCGGATAAGTCATCTAATTTACCTAACCCTTAAATTTCCTCATTTGCTGAAAAGAAATCAGGTTGTACTAAACTCCTAGAGTTAGAAAAGGTTTAAATGAAATAAATGTACATCATGTTCTTAGTACAGGCCCAGGAACAGAGCAAACATTTTGTAAATATACATTTTCATTTCCTTCATCCGTATTCTCAGGAATATTATGCAAATACAGTTAAAGGTATAAGAATTAACTGAGAATGAAAGAGAAAGTCAGATATGAGTTGAGCTAGTTTAAAGGGTTGATGTAGAACAAAGCAAGCATTTTCTTATCCTTAACTTGTTACATGTAACTCATTACAATATCCCTGATGTCACAATATATCATCAAAGTAATCTTCATGAATTGAAAAGTACTCTCATTTCTCCTCCTAATTTAGGGAATTTAATAAGTGATATTTGCTGTCATTGTCAGTATGGTTTTCCAAGTGGCATTATCTTTATCTTCATATAATTCCAATTTAGTCATTCCTGGCTGTTCGTTGGTTTTCAGCTCAGCCTTCTGGGAAGTTTTGTTTCATTTGTAGGTAGTTACTGAAATTGTGTAGGCTTCTGGGTTCTTTCAGTGGCCCATAGTGGTGCTGTCACTAAGCATCGTAGTTCATGCTACTCTTATTTCTTGTCCTTATTTTCTATTATTAAAGCCAGTGAAGTATAAATTTTGGTTTTAAGACTGAAAGAGTTGTTTTATGACGGTACCGTTCAAAAAAATAGATAGAGCAAAGCAGTTCTTGGTACTGTGAATGACACTTGCATTTCTTTTTATTTATAACATTATTCAAGGATTATTTTTTGTGAACCCTGTCTGGCATACTAAAATAAAATTATACATTAGATATTGTGTCTTTCTTTAGGAGCACTTTACCCCATTCTTTTGGTTTTTCCTTATAGCACATGTTTTCTAGATTATTTTCCCAGTTTTTTTTTCTCTCTCTCTTATGTAAATCCCTTGAGCTGGTGCTATTTTTCTTGACTTAAAAATCTTTAACTGAAAAGTGCTTTAAACTTGAAAAGTTTTCAAAAGACTACTTACTTGGAAATTAGAGCTATTCAGGCCAAGGTTAAGCATCTCAGTGATTATAATGATTTTGAATATCATTCATATTGCTAATATAATTTTTAAAGTTGTATAAGTACCTTTCAAGCTACAGTGGAGAATATACGAGAGATCAACTGTGTCCTAGAGGCAATTGGCCAGGATAAAGTATAGCAGAAAGGATGAGAAGTACCGTCTCCCCTTTTCTATACAAAGGAGGCATTCCACCTCTTGTTAGAAAGACTCCTAAGTTATTACTTGTTACTTCTTGTTGATTAATTTTTTCCCAATCATAGTTCCCCATCAAATATCCAGAAAGATCTCCAAACTGGCTACCCTTTTCCCCTCCTTTACATTAACTTCACTTCTATTTCCTTGCTTTCAATTATATAGTGCTCTAAGAATTTAATAATCTGATTAGTGAATACAAAGGTCCCTTTACCAGTCACAGTAGTTGCAAAGAAAATTTTTAAGTGAATGTCCCACCTCTAATGTACAGAAGCCCAGAGGTTTTCCAAAAGTTGTATGTGCACATCTATTAGGAATTTTTGTATATAAGGGTTGGTTGTGTTTTCATAACTCACTGAAACCTCCCAGCCCTACTCTAATCTGGGCAATCCTCTTGAATAGAGATGAGACTTAACAAAAAATTTCCAGATCTTGCGCTAGGGATGCACCTCAGTGGTAGAGCACTACCTAACATGCACAGTACCCTGGGTTCAGTCCCTGTTTTCACAAAATAATAAATTCCACTTCTCATTTTCTCCATATTTCAGCTAAAATGGGAGTTTAAGGAGTTCTTAAGGTGAATAGACAAACACTTGACATACTATACTAAAAGTGTGCTAGCCTCTAAAAATGTTCTAAAAGTATTTTTTTGTAGATGAAACATAAACCACACCATCCAAAAATACTTGCTTTGGACTACTCAAAGAAAGTGGATATTAGGAGACAAATTACAATTCAAAAATGGTTTAAAGATATAATCTTGAGGAGCTGCAGTTGTGGCTTAGCAGTAGAGCACTCACCTAGTGCATGCGAGGTGCTGGGTTCAATCCTCAGCACCACAAAATGGATAAATAAAATGAAGGTATTGTATCCAACTACAACTAAAAAAAAAAAAACTATAAAAAGGTTTAATCTTGAATATTCTTTCAATAATCTTTCAAGTAACTGCAAAAAGCAAAAAATTATTGCTGGGCACAGTGGTGTACACCTGTAATCCCAGCAGCTTGAAAGGCTGAAGCAGAAGGATTACAAGTTTGAGGCCAACTTGGGCATCTTAGAGAGACCCTATCTCAAAAATAAAGAGGCCTGGGATGTAGCTCAGTAATAGAGTAGCCCTGGGTTCAATCCCTATCACTGAAAAAAAAAATACATATATGTGTGTGTGTGTCTGTGTGTCTGTGTGTATATATATATATATATATATATATATATATATATATATATATATATATTGACATAAAAGTAAAATGTTTATCTCCTTCCTTCTATCTGGAACCAGTTTGCCTCAAATAACATGATTACTTTGGTCTCCTCAGTTCTGTATATAGGACCTCGCAGAACTGGATACAGTATAATACTAGCCTTTTCATATGTGGAGGAGAAATTATAGCATGAATATAAATTTACCAATTAAAGGAGTACCATATATTCTGTACTCTTACCTAAATGCTTATCAGCTCTAGTCAATGTTTAGTTGAACTTGTTTTGTTCATAAAACCATTAAAAAATATATGCTGAAGATGTGACTAACTTAAAAGAAATCTTTATACACATACTGTATTCCAGTGATACTTTGAAAACTACTTAAATAATAAGAGACTTTACATTTCCGTCTGAATCATATCTGGCCTATATTAGAAAGTGATATAAAGTAAATGAGCAGCCTAGGTCAGTAAGCCCTTCCAAACCTGAACTGCTGTTCTTCACAGTTACATAATAAAGAATTAGATATTCCCTGTAAGGCCTGTCATTATATAATATATAATTCAGAAGTTGGTGAACTTTAAGGGTTTGAAATTATTAGTCATAGTGGTGGTGCACATGTATAATCCCACCTACTCGGGAAGCTGAGCCAGGAGGATCCCAAGCATGATATCCTTGGGCAAGTTAGTGAGACCTTGTCTCAAAATGAAATAAAAAAGGGATGGGATGTAGCTCAGTGATAGAGCACTTACTTAGTATGTGGAAGGCCCTGTGTTTAATCCCCAGTACTGTCTGTCCCCCCTGCCCCCCCAAAAAGGTTATAAATTGTGCATACCAAAGCTATGGTCAGAAATTATTGGCTAAGTTTTATATAGGGATTTTTTTTTTTTAAAAGAGTAGTTATATCCTTTGATCAGTTGAAAAGATAGAAGTATGTTAGGCGAACTCTGCTTCTCTGTTTAGACAAGTTTTCTTCAGTTTTGTCAAAGCTATCCCTCTCCTAGGTATCATGGAGACTTGTAATTTAAAATGGAATTGAGGATCATTCTCACTTAAATGGGAATTCAAAATCTGGCAGTGTAGCAGGATAAAGTCTATTATAACAGATCCCTAAGTTTCTTGTTTTTGCTGTAGGTCTCACATGATAGGAAACTGCTCCAAGATTTTTAAAATACATAATTACTATTTTAAAGCACTCTAATTATGTGAGTGCTTAATACCATTTGAGTCATTAGATATGCTATTAATTGCTTAATGTGGAACAAGAGGAACAAAACTACACTACAGCAAGAAGCAGTTTATTTCTCCGTTCATCTGAAGTACAAAATTTTTAATTAAAATGTATAAGTCATATAAAAATTGTGAAGTATTATTTGTGGGTATAGATTGGTATGTTTCTTTAGAAGATCTCATCAGTTCTTACAGCATGATGTTATTTATTTATTATTCACTTCAGTTTTTATAAAGCATATGCTTTATTTTTGGTAAATCAGGCTTTTACTGCATAAATGGGTTATAAGTTTTCCTATAAGCTTATAAGATTACCTTATCTAGTTGTATATGCTGGTCTTCTCTTAATTAAAACTTCCTATGAGGAGTCTTTTATTGCCTAACTCCACTGTACCAAATGCCAATTCTTATTCTTAAAGTACTTATCTGTGAAATTTATATATATTAACAGGTAATATTCTTTGATTATCCCCCCAAAATTTCTGTCCTACATGTCATTCTGGAAGATTTTGTTTGATGGGAGTACAATACAAGGCACACTAAAAGGAGGCCCTGCTTCATGAAATATTGAAAGTCTTGAGACCTCAGTTTCCTCCTATTACTCCTTTGTAACATAAAATAGAATTATTTGCCTTTACTCTTTTTTGTTTTTGTTTTTACCAAACTCCTTTTCTCCACTTTCTTCCCTACAAAGAAATCTTACAACTGATTCTCCAGTAATTAAGAAAACAACCTTTTTCTTCCTTTGGAGGGGGCAACGATACATTTTGGGCTTCGCAGGGTGTTAAAGCAATGATATAATCAGTTTTATACAAATTATTAAAAGGGACATTCTTTACCAAGCTGTGACAATGTACTCCTTAACTTAATAATAAAAATTGCCCAAGTGACAGTGTCTCTCTGCTGAATGGATTTTCTCATACCATCTGGTTGTCATTGTAGTTTTTTGTTGTTGCTTTCATTTAAAATGTGCTGATGATCTTGTTTTTATTCCGTAGCATTGAACAGATGGGTTGATTATTCTTTTCAGATATTAATAAGGCAGCGGAAAGAAGAAATATGAATACGGCTCCATCAAGACCCAGCCCCACACGAAGGTAAAGTACCCTGAAGCAGTGAGTTACCTTGGGAGAGTTGGGCTCTGGGGAGTTAAGCCCAACTGCATACATCAAGGGTCTTTTCTTCCCCCCCCAGCAAATCAGAAACGCTCAAGCAAACAATAAGAATATGAACCTTGTGTGAAGGGCCTTGCTGCTTTTTTTAAACAATACATCAGGAGATGCAGAGGAAGCTTTGTGTTTTCGGTGGCAAACCCAGCAAGTTCAGCTTGCAACATGAGTTGCAGGCCATTGGAAGAGGATAAACCTCTGTCTTTCCCCAGCACACGTGTCAATGGGAGCCTCCAGAGCAGAAGGAGTGCCCCAGGGTCGGTGGTGTGTGCCATGCTGCATTGCAGCAGGCAGCAGAGATTCGACTCTTCATTCCAAATGGCTGCCGGTCCAGATGTTAACCCAGGTTTACGGGAAGAGCCTCTTGAGAGATTGCTGCTATGCCTGTGCTGCAGATCCCCTGTTTGCTCGCATGCTTGGGTTACCTGTTTGAGGGGAAATAAAAAGGGCAAAACACTTCACCTCTCAAAAGTCTCCCTTTTTCTTAGCTTTCCTGGAAATAGAAGACATTTTCCCACTGTATTCTTCTTTCCAGTATATACAAAAGAGATAGTCCTGATGTATTCCCTCAAGATATGAATTAAATCGGTCCCTTCTCAGTGAAGAGTTTTAAAATGTTACCATTTGCACCAAAGATGCGCATATTACATTCAAGCTTTCTGGTTCCATAACAACACACAAGTGGATGCAGTGTGTGCAGTTTTGTGTGGAATGCAGATAGATATATTTCATATCTCGTGTCTCTTCAAGGCTCAACTGGATACTCAATATGGATTTTGCCTTTGCCCCTAGGTAATGCCAATTTTCCACAGAAAGTACATAACTAAACTACATCCCATAGTAAACTACATTTCCTACAGTGAACTGAACACTGCTGAATACAGTGAGTTGTAGTCTATACTGGTAATTCCACAGGACCCAGGAATATATCCAACTAATTGAGTTCTCAAACATAGCTACCCTGCTTGGGGCAAAAACACGTATCTTATTATAAGAAAAAATGGTTGCTGTATGTTTTATGTACATACTCCTACTTGAATGTGAAGGGAGAGTATTTTCTAGCTACCAGGAATAGAGTATATGTTTCTACTCTTCTACTCTGCAGAGTTCAAGCAGACCCTCAGGGCAAGGTGGAGCTGCTGATTCTGGTGTTCTTTTTTTTTTTTTTTGTTCATTCTACCTGGACAGAGGAGTTGAATCCAACACAACAGTCATACAACAACTGTCATGCAAATGCCCTGGCCATCCATTGGTTTCACTGCAGAAGTGGGCATATACATTAGCATTCTGTCTGTCCTCTCAACACTATAAAGAATGCCTTCAGCTTGCAGGTAGATGCTGTGTTGGTTGCTTTGTGAGTATGTGAGTAGCCTGAAGAACATAAATAAATTCTTAGAGCTTCAGCAGTTCCATATGATGACTGTTTCCATTAGGATGTATCCAACTATTCTGCAGATATTGGGCAGTCCCATCTGTATCATTTTCCACATTGTCCCAGTAATTATGGAATAGGGGTGGCTAAGTGTTCGCCTCTAATGATCAGAAACATGGGGCTCCCATTAGAAATTGTAGTTGCCAGGTGGCTTGAAAAGAAACATGGTGTATGTGTTTAATTTTCAAAAGAGCTCTGATGTGTGTTTCTCAACTAAGTGGCTTATCAGGAGGAGTAGGAATTTGTAACTAAAAAGTAAAATCCTTCCTCCCTCTTTCCTCATGATGCTTGTGATCTCTGGGTAGTGGTATCTGTGTTTTTAAAGATTAAAAGAAAGCATATACACAAATACATTGAAGAGTAGAGACTAGTTTTTGTTTCTTTTATGCATAGAAATATTTATTTATTTATTTATTTAGGGTACTTGGATTGAACTTGGGGGCATTTGACCACTGAGCCACATCCCCAGCCCTATGTTGTATTTTATTTAGAGACAGGGTCTCACTGAATTGCTTATTAGCACCTCGCCTTTTGCTGAGGCTGACTTTGAACTCAGGATCATCCTACCTCAGCTTCCTAAGCTGCTGGGATTACAGGTATGCACCACCACGCCCGGCTCTTTTATGGATTGAAAGGGTATTTTATATCATCCTTATAATACTTAGCCAAATGCTTTTTAACATTTCAAGTTAAATGTAGATAAGATAATCACACATTTACAGTGTTGGGGAAATCACCAACTCCCCTGGTTGGAATCCAGCATAGCTATTGCTGAATTAATTTCATCCCAGCCTAAAATGCAACTCCATAATTTAAGGGAGGAAATAGTTTTATGCTCCTTTTCTTTTTAAGTAATAGTCCTTCCACAAACAAACAGCATTGGAGAGGGCCTTTTAAAATGAGCTCCTAGCCAGGTATAGTGTCACACACTTGCAATTCCAGTGATTCAGGCTTGGGCAGGAGGATCACAAGGTCAGAGCCAGTCTCAGCAACTTAGCAAGGCCCTGTCTCAAAATAAAAAAATAGAAAGGGCTGGGAATGTGACTCAGTGGTTAAGCATCTCTGGTTTCAAACCCTTGTACCAAAAATTTAAAAATAAATAAAATGAGTCCCTTACCAACAATATAAATACAAAACTCATCTTTATATACCTCTTACAAACATCACATTCCACTCGGTGTGGTGGTGCATACCTGTAATCCGAGCAGCTCAGGAGGCTGAGACAGGAGGATTGTGAGTTCAAAGCCAGCCTCAGCAGAAGCAAGGCACTAAACAACTTAGTGAGACCCTGTCTCTAAATAAAATACAAAATAGGGCTGGGGATGTGGCTCAGTGCTTGAGTTCCCCTGAGTTCAATCCCTGGTACACCCCGCCAAAATAAAAATATCATTCCTCAGAACTAATTCTAAAATGAAGTTCTTTGAGTATGGGTGGGGTAATGGTTTCCTGCTTGACTTAAACTCAGTAGGACTGACAGGTAGGCTAATTCAGATTCGATTAACAGTTTTCCCCTTGGTGATAGGTTCCTAACTGGATTCCTCAGCATATCGTTTAACATGATGAAATTCCATACAGTCATGCCTATTTGCTTCAGAGAATAAGAATGACCGCCTTTCATAAAATTTGTTTTGAGCCCCATTTAAATCCTGAGCAAAGTGTCCTAGATTTTTTATTAAAATAAATAAGCCAAACAAGTTGAATATCATATTCAAAAAAAAGCATCAACATTTTGACCATTGCCCTGATCATGCTTTCTCTCTTAACCAGTAGACCAGAAGTAAAATGTGAAAAATAGGCTAGATGGGTAAGTGATCAACCTGGAAGGGGCTGATGGTTTCTCTGAGGGTGAATACTGCGTATCTCTCTCTTTGGGTACATGCTTCCAGTCAAATCCTTGAGGTAGTCCTAAATGTCCCAGTATGTTGACAACACCAAACTTCACTTAATAGCCCTTTGTGCACCCAGTCATAGTGAACACATGTTCCCAGGAAAGGCGGGGGGACAGCCACCTTTAACATCTTCAGTGCTGTCTACTTTTAATAAGAAAATTGTTTTTAAGCATGCTGGCACGACTTTTATAACACCTTGTTTTGCTGGACTTTAATCTTGAGTGTCAAACAGCAAGGTATCTTTGGGAATTTTCACAGGATTATCACCTCTTTAGATGTCTCTGTAAAACGTACTGTTGGCTTTGCTTTGTGTTTCAGTATCATACCTCTCTAATGACTCCAGCTGTCAATGTATAATTCTGACAGTATTGACCCAGCCAGGCACAGAGAACTCTGCATGAAGGATCCCTGCTCCAGATCACATTTCAGCCTGAATTCTTATCATTTAATCCCCGGGCCACTTCACTGGACTCCTTGGAGTACATTGCAGAGTTACCATACAAGTTGTCTAGCATTGATATTGGGCATTAGTCCTTCTTCAAAAACTGCATTGTGATTCTGGTTGTGTTTTAGTTGTTTTCAGAATCATTTTCAGTATAACACTTGTCAAACAAGGCATTGGAGTATCCCCCTATGCAATCGTGGCTCCCAAGTGTTAGAAGTTAAGACTATATGGTATTTTCTAAACCTTAACTTGGTCTACACCAAATACTCTGCAGAGGATTTCCCCCATATATTTGTGAGTTACGTTGAGCCTGGTACCTCTTTGGTGAAGAGATTGGGGATTGGTTCATCAGAAATAACTTGGCTATGGGTAGGTTTCCTGTATAACCTGAGGTGCTCTCTACTTGTCCATGGGGCCTTAATCCCTTTGATAAGTGCTCGCTCCTTGAGTGAGATAGCTGTAGCTCTAGATGCCTCACAAAGTTTCCAGGCTGTGATTACTTCCGTGCTAACACTTGAAGAAGAAGAGTCATCGGTTCTCAGCAAGTGCCGCCTCCACTGGTAGAAAAGTCATACCTGTGCTCGAGAAAATCTTCAGTCTGTTTCCTAGGGAGAAGCATGGACACTTAAACATTTGGATCTGCGAGGTGTGAATCTCATTGCACTCCATATCCTACCTGCATCTAATGGCAAAATTCTGCACAAGTCTTTTCTAACAGCATGGAGCCATCGTGATGAGGGAACGGCATTACGTAGCAACAAGTCACTTAAAAATACTTGTGGACAGTATCTATGTCAGAGTTCGAAGAGCTGATGAAGGATTTTTGTCAGGGTCAAAAGGCTGGCCCTTCCGAAGAAAATATTCCAGAGAACAGAAAGGAAGAAAGGAGATGACACCCTCTGCCAAAAAAAGGAAGTGAAAGACCGGCCTTCCTCCCCGACATGTACAGAGAGGCCCAGAGCGCCGTGCTGGGCCTGCGCTCAGTCTCTTGCTGAAGAGCAGCTGAAGGTTCATCACAGTCTTCTAAGATGATCATCGTCTTTCAGTTCATGCTATGTAGGCTCTTGAATGCCTAGTGCTCTGCAAGCTCCTTTGGTCCTCATTTAAATCCCCTAATCTACCTGCCAGAAGCACAGTGCTAGTCATCTGAACCTTGGTCTTTCCCTTCACCCATCCCTCCCTTTCCTCTACAATGTTTCCCAGTGATATGACTATTTCTCTCAAGGCAAAGAGCATCCTCCCCACCCCCATTTAGATAAAACAGCAGGATTTTAGTTGTTGGTCACCTTCAGTTTGTGGACTCTGTTGCTGAAATTTATTTAACCACTGTTCAATTTCTTTTTAGCCACTAGCGACATGGGACCTGAGGGTATGCTGCATTGGTTTCCCTTAGTAAAATACCTCTGGTGCCATGCAACGATATTGTGAACCTTATTTTGCTCAGAAACCTCTTTGTAACTTATCATCAGAGGTCAAGCTTCTCATGCAGAAGGCTTTGTCTCCTCTGCACTCTGAATCCTACTTTTGTGAGCCTTGTTCTTGTTTGAGAAAGATGGTGGGGCCAGCAACAGGAGCCTTTTTGTTCTAAGGAGTTCTTTGTTTGGATCCTAAAGTGACCCTAAAGGGTTTTTGTTTGTTTTTGTTTCCAGAAGAACAGCAGTCTGCTGTGGTGTTCATCTTTTGGATACAGGGGAGAAGCTCCCCCTTTTCATTTCAGAGAATTATTATCTTCTCTGTTCCTACTTCCTCTACTACCTTACCCTTGGTTCTTTTCCCCCATGTGAATATCACCTCTCCTACATTTTCCGACAACAGGCAGTTGAGAGGGAATTAGTGTTGTGTTGCGGAAGAACTGTAGATTCTTTGAGGGAAGGAGAGGGACTTGCTGTCTCAAAACTGGAAGCATGGACCCCGATTTTGCAAAAACAGGGTTGTAGTCAAACTGCAGGGGTGGGTTCTGGCAGGTAAGTAAGGGTTTTCAATTGATTCAAAAGAATGAGAACCATGGTATTGGAGATGTAGCTCAGTGGTAGAGTGCTTGCCTAGCTTATGTGAAACCCTAGGTTCCAACCCAGCACCTTAAAGAAAAAGAAAAAAGGAAACCAAATAATAGCATTTACTGTCCTAAATCTGAATAACATGCTGTGACATGGTGTTCTTATCTGCCTCCCCACCGCCATTTCCACCAGCTTCAGGCTTTGTGTGTGCTGGTCTGTGGTCTGTCAGGTTCATGGTAGTTCAGTCCTGATTGCCAAGAATACTTGAAATCTGATTCCACCTCTAATGACTACTTCTAACTGCTCCCTAAGGCAGGTTTATCCTCTGATCATTAATAGTACAAAAATACTCCACAGTTGTCACTTCCTGTTGGATCTACAGTGTTGGCCCACATTGTACACTACATTAGGTGTTATACATGTTAGTAGGATTATGTGACATAATAGGGGAAATTGAAAACTGTGGTTAGTCTGTACTTCATTCTGATAAAAACTGTTTAGCTCTCCTCATTTAAATCCCCTAATCTACCATATGGTTGCTCCCACAAATCAAGCATAGCAGTAAACCTAAAGACACATGACAAGACTACTTGCCTGTAGTCCCAGCTACTTGGGGCTGAGGCAGGAAGGTCACTTGAGTCCAGGAGTTCAAGACAAACCTGAGCAACATAATGAAACTTTCATCTCAGAAAGGAAAAACATACATACATATATTTCTTTTTTTCTTTTTGAGATAAGAACTTCTCATAGAAGCAGAATAGATATTTAATTGTGTGTGCTGTGTCCAGGAGGATGAAGTGAAGTTGAGATTTTCTGTGAAGCTAATGGCACTGTGATTAATGCCTCGTGTAATCATGGTAAATAATAGAAGTTAAACAAAATACAGTGCCTGCTTTTGAGAGGCTTTAGTTTACTAGAATAATTCAAAACATTAAACATTTACTGAGCTCCATGCTGTGTCCTAAGAATACAAAGCCTTCCCTGTTTGGGAGGGAAGCTGTGTGGACAAGCAATGTGGTGTTAGGTGATTTTGATGCTTTGTTAATATTGTAGTAGACTTACACAAACTAAAATGGCTACAGTGCCACTAGGCCATCAATGGGACCACCATTATATGCACAGCCCGTCGCTGACTGAAACCCATGTGGTGCATGACTAAATAAGAACACATTGAAGTAGGTACTGGAGCAAGATGCAACATATTTATGGAGAATCTGCTGTGGGCCGGACATTGTTCTACATAAAGAAGAATCAAACATAGTCCTTGTCCTTGTGGAGCTTGCGATCTAGTAGGGCAGAGAGACATTAAACAAATAATAGATAATGTCAATTTGTGGTAAATGAATAAAAATGTGCTTGGGGGGGTTGCAGATGTAGCTCACTGGTAGGATGCCTGCTTAGCATGCAGGAGGCACTAGGTTCAATCCTAGCACCACAGAAATAAACACCAAGTGCTTGAAAATTTTCAGGGCACAGGAAGAAGGGATATTTCCATGCCAAGACCTGAAAAGTAAACCTGGGTTCATTCCTGTTGTTCAAGTAATAGAATCAGGAAAGATCTGGGCTAGTTGTAGATGGAAATTTAGTATCGCCCAAAAGTGGTGAACTAGGGAGAGGGTGTGACACGGTTGGAACAGTTCGGAGCCAAGACTGAGCAGGACCTTTCTAGCCTTGGTAGAGATTTGAGGTTGCATTCTAAATACTGTGAGAAATCAGTGAAGGGCTTTTGCCTATTTGAATGATCACTCTAGAGTGATCTTTCTGGAGGAAAATCAGAAAAAAGGCAGACTTAGCAAGGCCCTAAAAGACACTCTCCAAAACATGTCTGGGGATGTAGCTCAGTGGTAATGTGCCTGGATTCAATCCCCAGAATCAAAAACAGAACAAAGAAGAAAGGAAAGAGCAGGAATGGGAAGGGTCCTTTCAAATGTTCTTCCTGTGGTTTGGGGAATGAGATGATTATGAGTTGTCTTTCAGTAGAACCAGTGAGTTAAAAGTGGGCAGAACTGATGCCAACCACAGAGAACAAATGAACAGAATTTGGAAATGTGGATAAAGAGTGCACACAGTTTTAGGCAAAGAATAGCATCTATTTTCCTGGCTTGAGCAATGAAGTAGTTAAGATGTGCCATTTACTGAAGTGGGCATTCCCTGGAGGAATAACCTAGGTTTTTTTCTGGGGGGTGGGGGTGAGGAGGGATCAGAATTCAGGGAAGGTTTTATGGAGGAGGTAATCTTTAAAGTGGGTCAAACACTAGACTTGTTAAAAGTGGGGAAAAAAGATCCAAAAAGATAAAAAGTGCTCCGAGAGTTAAGCAGGAAGAGACCTCAGCAGTTATTAGGAAGGTTTCTTGGGAGACCCAGGACATGAATTTACATGTGGGGATTGGATGGCACCTGGCCTGGTCTAGGAAAAGAAAAACTGCAAGTAGGGAAACCATATGAACAAAAAATAAGACACGTTATGTGAATGAAGTCATGAGAACAATTTAAGTAGAACAGGAAGATTGAGCCACGAGAGAAAAAAGAGGTAATAGAAAGGAGCACAGTTTATTTATTTGCAATAGGGGTGTCCAGGGGCTTGGAATTTAAGCTGAGATTGTAAAAGGTGAATATTGGCATTTTAAGATGATTAGTATGATGTTTATATGTCAAATGAATTAAAATAAAATTGGGTTTTGTTTCAGTTTTGTTTTTTGGAAATTTTTATTAGTGCCAGCATAAAAGTAAGGGCTTCAGTTGGATTTACAAATCTAGAGGGAATGAAAAGAAAAAGTGAGGGGCTGGGGTTGTGGCTCAGTGGTAGAGCACTTGCCTAGCATGTGCAGGACCCTGGGTTCAATCCTCAACACCACATAAAAATAAATAAACAAAATAAAGGTATTTGTCCATCTACAACTAAAAAAAAAGAGAGAGAGAAAGAAAGAGTGAATAGGACTCAGGTGACTTGATGGGAATAGGGGCGGGGAGAAAAAAGTTAACTTTCAAGAACTTAAGCCTTAGTAACTGGGTAGTTGCTTTTTGGCCAAAGTGAATAAAGTTGGGAATGGGACTTAATTGAAGTAGAAAACTTTTGGTTTTAATTATGTTAGGGATGGGTTTACAGTGGAGTAAAATGTCTCATGAAGAGCACTGAGTCAAAGCAGGTCAGGTGTATTTGTGATTTCAAACACTGTGTAAAAGCAAAACCTTGGGCAAAAAGAAATCAGATTCTATATAAACACTTAGATTAAGAAAGACCACTATTATGTAGTTCTGCAAAGAAGAGAAACTGATTGTTCTTGATTCTTTGTGAATAGTGTTGTGCTTGCTTTTTTTCCCCTCAGTTTGATTGTCTTGCTATATATTTTAAGTGAGGTTTTCTGTACTTAAACAACAACTTCTTTTTTCACTTTATATGAGATTTTGCTGTTTGTTATACAGTACAGTAAGTGTTGGCCCTTACTCTATCCCTTCTACTTTTTCCTCCTGTAAAGTCTCTTTTGAACAAATCCAATGGGAGAAAATAGATTTGGGGGAAAAGCACTTTCACTTTGAAAACCCATTGAAATAACAGTTGGCATATGCAAGGAATATCAAATTACTCCCTAAAGCCTGGTGAATACTATTACCTCAGTCAAAAGTTTTGGCTTTTGATTATTCATTCTTCCTTTGATGTCATAATCTTTTGAGATTCTCGAACCTTCTAAACTAGTTGCTGACCAGAAGGGTCAATATCCTTAAAATTTAGTCATATTCTGTTTCTCATCCGTGTTTTAGGGAAAGGCACTAGAGGGTGGGGGCTTCCTTCTGTAAAGAGCTGAAGGGTTGACTCTCTGCAGTCTCTTTTTCTTAGCATCTTCTTACTACCTCCCACAGGGATCCCTATGGCTTTGGAGATAGTCGAGATACAAGGCGTGATCGATCTCCAATCCGAGGAAGTCCAAGGAGAGAACCCAGGGATGGCAGAAATGGCCGGGATGCCCGTGATAGCAGAGACATTCGAGACCCCCGAGACTTGCGGGACCACAGAGACAGCAGAGACATTCGGGATCACAGAGACAGCAGAAGTATGCGCGATGCTCGGGACATGAGGGATCTTAGAGACTTTCGTGACCTAAGAGACTCTAGGGATTTTCGAGATCACCGGGACCCCATGTATGACAGATACAGAGACATGAGAGACTCCCGAGAGCCTATGTACAGGTACTTACATGGCTGCCATGCTTCCTTTTTGTTAACAGCCTTTGTGTGTTTTGCTGAATTAAGTGACAGCTCTAAAAAGGCAGTGACTTTATCAGCCTTGCATTTTCTGTGTATATCAAGTAGTAGACATGGTGCTGGTGCTCAATAAATTTTGCTGAAATGTGTGAATGATTGATTAGTTATGCTTAGTGAATGAATCTGGATTTTTCTAGGTCCTGGAAAAGACAACACTGTACAGATGAAAACAGAAAAAAGTACAAAGTTGTTGGCAAGGCAAAAACCCAGGGAGGAGATACACAAATAGCCAATAAATATATGAAAAGATGTTCCATGTCATTAGTCATCAGGGGAATGAAAATGAAAGCCACAGTGAGATACCACTTCATATTTACTAGGATGGTTATAATAATTTTTTTTTTTTATGTGTGTGTGGTACTGGGGATTGAACCCAGGGCCTCCTGCATGCGAGGCAAGCACTCCACCAACCAAGCACTCTATCCCCAGCCCCACATAATAATTTTTTTATACAGAAAATTACTAGTATCTTCAAGGTATGGAGAAATTGGAACCCTCTTACATTGCTGGTAGATGTGTAAAATGGTATATAGCCCCTGTGGGGAAAAATTTGGTAGTTCCTCAAAAAGTTAAGTATAAAATTATCATGATTCATTAGTTCTATTCCTGAGTATATACCCAAAAGAATTGAAAAGAGAGCCTCAATTATACATGAATGTTCATAGCAGCACTATTCATACAAGACAAAAACTAGAATCAATCTAAATGACTATCAAGAGATGAATGGATTTTTAAAATGTTATAGATACATACAATGGAATATTATCTGGCTGTAAAAACTCATGGAGTTCTGATATACGTTAAAAAATGGATGGCCCTTGAAAACATGCTAAGTGAAACAAGTCAGTCATACACACACACACACACACACACAAAATTCCCAGTTATTGTATGCTTCTACCTATATGAAATATCTGGAATAGGCAAATTCATAAAGACTGAAAATAGATATTACCAGGGGCTAGAGAGAGGGAGGAATAGGGAGTTACTGCTTCATGAGCAGAATTTCTGTTTGAGGTGATGGAAGTTTTGGAAATAGATAATGGTAACATTTGTACAACATTGTAATTCCACTGGATTCTACACTCAGAAATGGTTAAAATGGCAAATTATTATTATATATTTACTACAACTTCTAGGTCTTAAAATTTTTTCTAAATCTGGTTTTTGCATATAGGACAGAATTTTAACTTGGTGAAAACTTCCCTAACTTTTCAGGAGAGAAGGCTCTTATGATCGATACCTGCGGATGGATGACTATTGCAGGAGAAAGGATGACTCTTACTTTGACCGTTACAGAGACAGCTTTGATGGACGAGGCCCTCCTGGCCCAGAAAGTCAGTCTCGTGCAAAAGGTAAAGTAGCAGAAACAGTCTATTCCTAGTACTGTGGTAAAACACTACAAAAGACACTAATAACCAATACCCCAGTTGAAAGGGGGCTAATACATAGTTGGGCAGGCAGGTCATTAAAAGAAATAAAAATAGCTTGTTAATGTTTAGAGAACATTCAGTTTGAAAATAATTTTTAAGTTCAAATTAACACCATCATCTGGTCTAGTCATACATCACGAAATACAAAATTCCAGAAATGAGAAATGAACAGAATATTGGAGCAGAAAACATTAAATGCTTGCTTTTGTGCTCATTGACTAGCTATGACTGTCTGGAATATTTATACAAAATGGGTTTTTGTTTGTTTCTTTATCATTTTTACCTGATCACATCTCTCTTTTTTAGGTAAAGACAAACTTGGGTCTATTTATTTATTTATTTATTTATTTTTAGAAAAAGCATAAAGGGTTTATTTAGTGAAAGGAAATATGCCCCAGGGGAATGTGGAGTAAGCTGTCTCAAGACAGGAAGTGGATTTTTCTCAATACACCTTTTTTTTCAGTGAGCTGGGTGTAGTGGCACCGCATGCTTGTAATCCCAGAGATTCAGGAGACTGAGGCAGGAGGATCAAAAGTCGGAGGCCAGCCTCAGCAGTTTAGAGAGACCCGTAACAGCTTAACAAGACCCTATCTCAAAATAAATACTAAAAATTTAGGGCTGGGGTGGTAGCTCAGTGGTAAAGTGTACCTGTGTTTAATCACCACTACCACAAAAAAGTCTGTGCCTTTTAATCCATTTCATTTTTATGAATTTAAGAGTGAAAAAAATATATTATTATTTTTAGGAGGTAGATGTAAGAATTAATTTAGAGAGTCCTCTGGCTTATTTTTGTAGAAGGACAGTCCTTATTTTAGATTTCCCTGGTGGTATCTTGCAGAGCGTTTGAAACGTGAGGAACGGCGTAGAGAAGAGCTTTACCGTCAATATTTTGAGGAAATCCAGAGACGCTTTGATGCGGAGAGACCTGTGGATTGTTCTGTGATTGTGGTCAACAAGCAGACTAAGTAAGACCCCTTGGATACCTCTCCCTAATGAGGAGATGGGTCAGAAGAAAAAGTTCAGGCTCCTGCTTAGCTGCTTACCCACTGAACTTGGGCTTGCCCACTGAATTCTGGTATTGTTATGAGCATTAGCCAGAGTTCTTTGAGTTGTAGGTGACAGAAAACCCAATTCAATCTGCCTTGAATCCAAAAGGGAAATTTTTGGATTGCTCAGCTGGGAAGTCCAGACATGGCCTCATCCATGGTCATACTGTGCCATCAGGACTTGGTCTCTGGTTGGCATCTTGGCACAGCTTCCCTCGGTGTTTCCATCATTCTCATGCAGGTTTTCTACTAGAAAAGGCAGACTAGCTAGATAAGTGTTTTCTGAGCTTAACAAACCCTTTGAAAGAGAGCTTCATTTTCTAAAGTCCTGGATTATTCTCATTAGATTGGCCTGGCTCACTTTCCCCATCGCTGATCTTGTCACTTTGGCCAGGGGTATTAGAATGCCATATGTCTGTACCCACCCTAAAGCTGGAGGTGGGGTTAGACCCATGTGAACTGAGAATGGGAGAGGGAGTAGGTATTAATCAAGCAAAGCAATAGTTCCCCTTCTGTGGGACAGTCCCAAATCCCTAATCGTTTGGGAAGCACATGTCTGGGTTTTCCAACCAAAACTGTGCCTGCTTTGTGAAGGGCCCTGGCCTTGCAGAACTGTTAGATGACCATGTTAGCCAACCCAGAATTGATAGCACAGCTCTGTTTCACCTCTACATTCTCACCTGGGAAGAGGCAGAGCCGAGAAACAGAAAGAGAGATGGCAGCTTGCAGTCTCGACAGTAGCTGTGTTCCCTTTCCCCAGTTGGTTAGTAAATAACATCATGTATTTTCTACTAGTTTGGGGTTAAAGAGCTAATTTCAAGTCAGTGACTAGGGAAATAGGTGTTGAGACACCAAGCAGCAGGCAGAGTTCACAGGCTCTGGGCAACCTTGTTCAGAGATAAATGCTGCTTTTACTGTAGCTTTTTCTGGATAATACATGATAATAATAGCTGTCCTTTTCTGAGCACCTACTTTGTACTACCCCATGCTAGGTGCTTTACTTAAATTATTTTTAATCTTCACAGTGATCATGTTACATGTGTATTCCTTCAGCAAGTGTAGATACCAGGTTCAAGGTCTTAATAGCAGCAATAAGCAAACACACAGCCCTTTCCTCTTGTGGACTCACAACCTGTTTGGAAAATGAAGAAAAAAATATGTGGGTGATGAGAAAAGAAGAGAATGTCAGAGATCTAATTAAATTGGAAGGAAAGTAAAGGAAATGACATAGGAGCTGAGCCATATTATTATTGTTTCATTGGTTAAAAAAAAAAAAATCTGAAATTGGTTTTTCATTGGATTTACTTAAACATTCACAATTTTGCAAACAAATGTTGGGGCTGGGATTCAACTTTTTAGCATGAACGCCTGTGTTTTTCCCACTGCTATGCAGACTGCCCAAAGGCAGATAAGTGCTGCAGGTCTTAGGCAGCAGGATGAGCTAAGGAAGGACCACTGGACTAGAGAATCAACAGAAGTGTATCAAATACTGGACTACTGTCAGATTCCTCTGTGACCTCAAGTAGGTCACAGCCATTCTGGAAAAGCCAGTGGAAGGAGGGTGGTCTAGATCCTTGGAACCTCAGGGGGGAATTGGGGGTAGAATTTGAATTCTCTGCAGGCACATGTGCAGCTGAAGTGCAACAGTGTGCAGATTGAGAGTTGGTCGAGAAGCACTGACCTGATCCGGTTTACTCTTTCAGAGATTACGCTGAGTCTGTGGGGCGGAAGGTGAGAGACCTAGGCATGGTGGTGGACTTGATCTTCCTCAACACAGAGGTGTCACTCTCTCAAGCCTTGGAGGATGTTAGCAGGGGAGGGTCTCCTTTTGCTATTGTCATCACTCAGCAACACCAGATTCATCGTTCCTGTACAGTCAACATCATGTTTGGAACCCCACAAGGTATGGAGACCCAAATAGGCCAGAATCTCAGAGGACAGTTGTTAGCACTTTAATTTTTCTATGCCTAAGAAATAGATTTTGGGCAGATGACTCACGTATCAGCTCAAACACAGTAGGCCCCCTCCCTAAGTTTAATGCCCTAGAAGAGACTTGCATATCATTTATTAGTCTTATTTTCTCAGCCATACAGTTCAGAGTCTTCTTTCTACTTAACCATTAGGTGTATGCAGTAAATATGCTGGCAAACATTTAATCAGCTCTGAGGTAAGGGGATAGTCTGTAGCATTCGTTGATTTCTATGGTGTAAATACCCCTGGTATGTCCCCTTTCAAGTCATGAAGGTGAAGCACTGAAAGGAGAGTTGGAAAGAAATGCACCCATTGAGCTCTGGCCAGTGAGATCTGGCTCCCGCAGATCTCTGGTGCACACTGTGCTGAAATGCAATAGAATCCTTGCCTTCACCCAGCGCTCTAATGGGAACAGAGACTATCACAGACAGGATCCTGGTACTGTGCTGGAGAAGTGAGTAGGTGGGCTGCGAGGACAGGGAAGAGGTTCTGACCCCTAGATGCCCTTCAATTCCTTCTCCAAAGTAGTGCTTTGATATCCAAGTGTGAAGACTTAGCTAGCTGTGCCCTACTCGGGGCTCTTACAGCCTGGACTTTCCCTTTCCCACCACACCCAGGATCTCTCTTGGCCAGACTAGCTGTGCTCATAGCCTCAGAATATGTTGGGATCTCTGGTGAGTCAGTTGTCTCCACGGAACAGTCCTCAAGATGTGTGAGGACAGTTAAGAAAGTTCTGAGACGTCTTCTCTCCATCCTGCAAAGTCGTTGCCCACTGGTAGAGTGCGAGGTTATTTGGGGTCACAATTTGATCTTAATCCATGACTTTTGAACTGATGAATTAAGAAACAGTAGGCCAGCTCTGTCCTGAGGTGCACAGTGGAAAGCCAGGCTTTACAGAGGGCTTTTTGGCCTCCTGCTGCTGGTCTCAAGGCTGCCGGCCTGCCTCCCATGGTTACTCACCACATGGTCTGTTTGAATCTGTGGGAGGCTGTCATGTTTCTTTGGGTTTTACTACCAGTCTGTGATCTAGGAATTTCCCCAAAGAAGGAGCTCTATACAAAGGTGGGCATTCCCCACCAAGGATAGCCATTCCCCTCTCCTCCCCATCCCACCCCTCTCCCAGTTTCAAGGCTTTTTGTCATCAAAATGGTTTTCTTGCTAGTTTGAGGCTAGGAAAGGCTTGGTAGAGTACAGCAGGTGGGCACTCAGATCTGTCATTGGAGAAAATAACTCATGTCGTTCCCTCCTACAGAGCATCGCAACATGCCCCAGGCAGATGCCATGGTACTGGTGGCCAGAAATTATGAGCGCTACAAAAATGAGTGCCGCGAGAAGGAACGTGAGGAGATTGCCAGACAGGCAGCCAAGATGGCTGATGAAGCCATCCTCCAGGAAAGAGAGCGAGGAGGCCCAGAGGAGGGAGTGCGTGGGGGGCACCCTCCCGCCATCCAGAGCCTCATCAACCTGCTGGCAGACAATAGGTACCTCACTGCCGAAGAAACGGACAAGATCATCAACTACCTGCGAGAGCGGAAGGAGCGGCTTATGAGGAGCAGCACCGACTCTCTGCCTGGTGAGCTACGTGGCAGGGCCGAGGTGAAGTTCTGACTCTGCATTTCTCTAATCCCCAGGCTCTGTTGGGAGGGTGTGAGCCCAGGGCTCCCTGGGTGGGTGAGAGAGAGGAACCCATCCCTTGGGTTCTCTCATGGGCCATCCATGCTAATTTGATTAACGATAACTTTAAGATTCAAGTACTGAATTCTGACCCCCGTGATGCACCGTGGTGGGCTAGTATTGCCGGCTCCCTGGTTGTCAAGGTGGATGCCACTCTGACCTTTGCTTTTTTCCAGTTTTCTTTGGAAATGGGGCTATTGTCTGTAAATAGCACATATGTACCATGAAGTGGCCCCTTTGGGAAATTGATGTCATTGTCTGTGTACCATGTGATTGATGTGATTCAGTGATTGTTTTTCTTCCCTGGGCTGCTCGGCCTCCTGCCCTTGGGGGGTACTTTCAACCAGATGCCTCCCTGTTTTTGTCTTCCAGGCCCGATTTCCCGCCAACCACTCGGGCCGACCTCGGGTGCCTCGCTGAAGACACAGCCAAGCTCCCAACCGCTCCAGAGCGGCCAAGTGCTCCCCTCTGCTACACCCACTCCAGCTGCACCCCCCACCTCCCAGCAAGAGCTTCAGGCCAAAATCCTCAGCCTCTTCAATAGTGGCACGGTTGCGGCCAATAGCAGCTCCGCATCCCCCTCAGTTGCTGCCGGAAGCACCCAGAACCAGAATTTTTCCACAGCAGTGAACAACCAGCCTCAGCAAAGATCACAGGCCTCTGGCAATCAACCTCCAAACATTTTGGGACAGGCAGGATCTGCTCGGAACATGGGCCCCAGGCCTGGGGCTCCTTCCCAAGGGCTGTTTGGCCAGCCCTCCAGTCGCCTGGCACCTGCTAGCAACATGGCTAGCCAGAGGCCCATGTCATCCACAGGCATCAACTTTGACAATCCAAGTGTACAGAAGGCTCTGGACACTCTGATCCAGAGTGGCCCTGCTCTCTCTCACCTGGTTAGCCAAACCACAGCACAGGTGGGGCGGCCCCAGGGCCCCATGGGATCTTACCAGAGGCATTACTGAGGCTAAATTGTTCAACCATCCCTAGTCCCCTCCTCCCCTGGCCTCCTTCCACTTCATTCTAAATAGAGTTGTTTGGAGGATGTTGTCTGCGGCTCCAGGTCTGCACCGAGTGTCATGAGTTCCTATACCTGCGCTCTCTTCTGCCCAAGGCTGTGGCTTACTCCTCACAGAGTCAGAGCTTACACTGCATTTGGGGGTGTATCTTTTTTTGGTTTTTGGTAGGGGTCACCGAGGTAGTCCAGGCGTCTGGGCTGTTTATATTGATGGGGCTTCCCTGGTTCCTCTGTCTGCCGGATTGTGGGGGAAAGGAAGAAGCCACGTCTGAGCTGGCATTTGTCATGACAGTAGCCATCACCTTTGCTTATTTTGATCCTGCCTAGTCATGCCCTCCTTGCACGTGTTGACCAGAGCTGCAGCTCCTGCCAGGTACAGTGTCGTCACCATGCGCCATCCCATGTGTATGGGATCCTGCTCGAGGCTCAGATCAGCACCCGGCCACGAGGGGGAGCCACAGGAGGAGGGTCTCCTGCCTGCAGCAGGGTGATGACCAATTGGAAGTTTTGGGGGCGATACTTGTTTCTTGTTTTGTTTTCATTTTGAAGGATCCCTAGGGGAGGACTGAACAGCTCCAGTCACCAGCAGTTTGGCACTAACTCTTCCCCAAAACATCTCTGTCAGCACCTCCCTCTCCAGTGGCACTCCAGGGAGTGGATCTGAGAAGGCAGCTTGGACTCTGGCAGTGGATCCCATTGTTCCAGTGATTTGTTTTGAGAGTTTAGCTCAAAAACCCAGGCTATTGTTTTCATCTGCCTCTTGTTCTGTTCCCTGAGCAGCAGGAGGTAGGGACCATTTCGATGTCATACTGTTGGTAGCTGGACATGTTCTCGATGCAGATGGCGTTCGTAACCTTTGAGCCAGAGTGAGATGTTGGAGGGCCTCTGGCTGCTGCTCTGAATGGAGCGGAAAGAAACCACCCTCTCCCTGGGGCTGTGCCCACTCGAGAGATCCACTCGTGGATCGTCTCCACGGGCCTCTGGCAGGGCTGAGGGCAGAGACTTCAGCTGAGTCCCTGCCAGTGGCTGAGCAAACAGTGGTTTCAAAACTCAAGGTCCCCAAATGACAGCATTTTATGTTCTGACCCGTTTGTGTTATATAGTGTTTTTTTTTGTTTTGTTTTTTCCTTTTTGGAACTCTTGTGTTGTTAATAAAATGAATGATTACTTTTTAATTAAAATGAAAAAGTCAACACTGTGTTCATCTTTCTTGGGTGTCGATGGTATCTGCAGCACCTCTTTGCAGGGCACTTTTTCCGGGGTTAGAAGGTGAGGAGCCCCTTCTGGTCTGCCACTGCTTGTCCTCAACGTAGGGTCAGGCCTCAAAACCTCTTCACCCTGCCGGAGCCTCATGAGTTTCTACACCTGCTGTCTCTCCTGCCAAGTCCCGCGGCCTCTCTGTGCAGTTCCCCTAGTGAGAAGCTGTCCCGATAGTTCAGGGCAGAAGCCCACTTGCTAGTTATGCCGTTCAGCATCCTGCTTCTGGCAGACATGCAGTGTCAACAGGCGGTCCCCTTGTTCTAGGAAAGGAAGGTGGTTGTGAGGGGGTCTTCTCTGGCTGATGGGGAGGGGAACACTTCTGTTTTGATCTCAGCTGGTGCTCTGTGCTCACTCTTGTGCGGGTAGCTGGTGTACTCTCCAGTCAGAACCTGAGCGCTTTAGAGAGCCCCCTAGACACCTAGGAAGTGCAGGTGCCTCCAGGCACAGGAGTGATCCTTGGGCAGTGCTTGCCGGGACAGGGCCCCAGTGCTGCCCACACACAAATTGGACAGCCAGACCCGGTGCATTCGCTTGCCTCTTCTGTCAGCAGAGTTCAGTGTTTCTGACAGAGTCCAGTTCCTCCTTGAGGGCCCCCTGGAGTTCCAAATAGCACACCTCAGGCCATGAAGGGTATCATAAAATTATTTTTATTGCATTTTGTGCAGACGAGAGTCTAAAAAATTAATACAGTAAAAGCCTTAAAGCATTAAATGGGAGCATTCAACAATAAAGGAAAGAACGAAGCCTCTCCTTTTCATATTGGCACGAAGAACACAAGGTCAGTACTGAGGCAGGATGCGGAATACTGAAACACTGAAAATTAAAGGCAGGCCTAGTAATAATAGTAATAATAGTAATAAATACTCTGGATTTGGTTTGCAACCTCTCCTATTTACAAGGTTTTCAACTTCATTGCATTGCCCTGCACATAGATCTTCTAAAACAAAAGCAACACTAGTTAATCACTACAAGGCTATTGAAATATTGCACTCAGAATAAAAGTCACTTGAATGGACATGAAACATCTAGCTACAGTGATTATAAAGATAATTTGATGAATGACGTGATAACATTCATAACAAATATTGCACATGTAGCACAGAAAACTTGGGGTTTTGTTGTGGGATGTTTGTTTCATCAACGGAAACTTTGCTCTTGCCAACCAGACGGTCTGGGCCCAGATAGTGCAACTTTGGTTCCCTAATTGGTGTTGACCACCACCACCGCCCAGCCCCACCACTTTAAACCAAAATGCTCAGGCCCCCAGAAAGCAGGACCCGTGGTTCTCAGAGGGAGGGCTTTTGGAAGATGCAGGGGGCTGGTGTCTAAATAATTCCAACTTTCTGACTAGTTCTTGGAAGAATCTATCTAGTCCCCGATTAAATTTAACCGGCAGACCTCCAGACCTATCCCCAACCTCACCTGACCCTGTCTAGATGGCACCAGCTGCAGCTCTCTGCCTTGGGCTCAAAGGAAAGGAGGTGATGAGGTCAGGAGTACCCAGTGGCCCCAGCTCAGGGAGATGGGCAGGATGTCTAACTAGGTGTGCAGTTCAGGGCCCTGGGGCTGGAGATGCTGTACCCAGTCCCAGAGGGCGCTGGAACGAGCATGCAGTGCCTGTCCCCCTTAGTGCCCTGGGGGAAGGAAACAGCCCAAACGCTTTCCCTATGGGCAGAGTGCGCCTCCGACCGACCCGGCTGATGGGGAGAAGGGACAAGGACTGGAGTCAGCCCGAGGAAGCCAAAGGCCTTGGGTCCTAGTTTGAGGATAGGGAGGTGCTAACCTCTAAGCTCATGTGACCCCAGATGCCTGGGGCATGTACTAGAGGCGCTGCTAGGCAGGGAGGCCTGGCCTCAGAACACGGAGTAGGCGGCGGAAACCCAAGACCGGAGCTGCGGATTGGGACAGGGGAGGGAACATCAGGGGCGGTGCTGGGGCCTCCCAGGGGGTCTGACCCCTAAACCAGAATTGCCCCCTCCTCCCTCAACTGACCCAGGGAGGAAACTCTGGGGGTGCGCCCTCCAGCTCCACGATTTCAGTCTTTGGCGAGGAGCCATGGGATGGGGGAGCAGGCGACAAGCCAACTGAGGAGAGACGCCTGCTCCCCAGCGAAGGCACCGGGGCGGGGCTTCCTCGGTGGGGCGCGGGCCTCTCTGGGTTTCTCCCTCCGAAGAGCGCCCCTCCCCTATCCTGGCCCCAACTTGCATAAGAGCCGAAGAGAGGAGGCTGTGCACGCGCCTCTGCAGCCACAGTGGAGGCTCCCATCCGCTGGGAGGCGAGTCCACGGGAAGCAGCCGCGTCTCACTTCGTCTCCGAAAAGAACTAGAGGGAAGGGAAGGGAGCCAAGGGCGCGCGCAAAGGACGAGGAGGCGAGAGCGGACGGAGCGAGGGTGTCGAGGGACCAGGACCAGGACCACGACCCCCGCCTGGGCCTAAAGCACTTTCGCTCTCAAACTCTCGAACGTCAAGGAAAACTCGGCTTCCCAGGCCTCCGCCTCCCCGGCGCCCCAGCGGGAGGGCTGGACCGTGGCGAGGAGTCCGTTGCGCTTCTAGTTACATAAATATGGGACTTTAAAAATACACGCGATGTCTCCTGTACACTATGTATAGGCTCGGCCGCCCGCGCCCCGCGCCCGCGCCCCGCGCCCCGGGCTGGCTGGGCGGGGAGGGCGGTGGGGACTTGGGGCGCCGCCTGCCCAGCCGCGCCTCGGGGCCGCTGGGAGCGAGCCGCAGCGCGGAGGAGCGCAGCGCCAGGACCGCGGCGGGCGTGGGAAGGGGAAGGGGCCGAGTGGATGCCGGGGGTCCTCCGGGCCCCAGTCCTCTGCTTTCCGCACCTGCTCCCGACCCTTATTGCAGCGTCTCTCCGGCCGGGCGAGGCCGCGCTTAGAAAAGGGCAGCGCAGCCGGGACGACAGGGCGCCCGGGCGCCCTCTCCGAGTCAGCCCCGACGGGCGTGGCCTCCAGGCTTCAGGCAGCGGGGAAAGGGGCCAGGGCACGGGCACAGGGTCTGTATGTAAACGGTGACAGCGGCGGGGGGCGCGGCGAGGGCTCCGGGGCCGCGGCCGGGCGCGCTGGGGCCCGGGTGGCAGGTCCTGGCCCTCAGGAGTAGATGGTGATGACCTCGCGGCCGCCGCCGCGGACCAGCATCACCCGATCCAGGTGTTCTGTGAGGACCTCGAGGAACTCCATGTCTGAGAGCCGGTCAAGGAGAAAGACTCGCCCCTCCCCTCCCGGCAGAGCAGGGGTCTCCGGGGACCTCGCGCTCCTGCGTCCCTGTCCGAGGTGCTGATCCTGAAGTAGGACCGGCTCGGACCTTTCATCCCGGGACTAGGACCAGGTTCCCGGAGGCCACCTCCCCCCCACCCCCGCCATCTTCAGTCCAGGATACAGTTTTCGTCACCGTTGCGGTTGCGGGGAGGCCCGGGCATGTTGAGCAAAACGAGCTTGGCGTCCCGGGATTTCTTCACGATGACCTCGTTCAGCCGCACGGCCGTGTGCATGCGCCGCACGTTGGACTGGTTCCTGCGGAGCAAGGGGAGCAGAGCGTGAGCCCCGGGGAGGACTCGGTGGCCCTCCCGCAGACCGCGCTGCTGGGGGGCTGGCCCTTGCAAGCCCGTGACACCCACCCCAAGCCTCTCCAACCGAGCAATCAGAGACTCCGGAGGCCAGGGGCACCCCGGGGGTCACGAGAGAGCAAGGAGAGGGGAGACCTGGCCAGCGGGAGGTAAGATGAAACATGCTGAAGCACTTACAAGTTCTCCCACTCCCTTCAGGAAACAGAAGCAACGAGAGAAAGAGGGAAAGGTGTCAGAAGAAGAAGAGGCCGGGTCCTGAGACGCCATCACCTGCTCTCTCGCCCCGCATCCTTCACCTCCCCATTTCCTGAACCTGGAAGTCCCAGCCTCAGCACCAGGCCAAACCCTGTGAGTTCTCAGGTGGGAAACGAGCCGCCTCTGGGGCTTCAGACAGGACCCTGCTGGTCCTCTGCCACACTGAGCAGGACCCGGAGGCCCACCCCACCCAAGCCCTTGGCCCCAGCCCATACGGCTTCATGCTGAAGAAGTCCTTGATGCCCTCCGAGGAGACGGGACTGGGGCCCTTATTCTTCTCTGCCACGGACTTGTCCTTGGTCCAGGTGAGATGCACCTTCTCGGGGTCTGTCTCGCCCTCCCCCTCAGGCTCCTCCCCTGGGGACGGGGAGCTGCTGGGGCAGCTGGGAGCACTCTGGTCGTGGATCAGCTGCACCTGGGGGTGAAGGAAAGGCGAGGAGGTGACTCCTTTGGCAGCCAAAGGTCCTGCTCCCACTGGCTGAGGCCAGACCACTGCCACTGCCCACCTCCTCCTCGGGCTTCTCCTCGCTGTCACCAGCGGTCTCTTCCGGGACATTGAGGCGAAGCCGAGTGTTGGCTGGATTCTTTCTCCGGATGGAGCCTCGAGACTCATCTGTGATACTCTGAATCTAGGGAGTGACACAAGTTGGTGCCAGCTCTGCTGGAAGTCACCACTCATGCCCTGCCAAGAGCTACCACCAGTGCCAACATTCAGCCAGGAACCAACCAGCAGTTCAAACAGCGCAGGACTTCCTGTCCAAGAGGACTGCACACTGACCTGGCCACTCCTCCAGAGCCCGGACCTCCCGCCATCCCACAATCAAAGTGCAGCACTGCCACAGCAAGGCTCTACCACGCACTGTGGCCCACGTCAGTTCTGGCTGGTATGAGCAAATGCCATCTCTTACCATTTTTACTGCCACCCCTGGGTAACACCCCCATCCTTGGAGGTCCCTCCTTATCTAATAAAGGGGTACCTGTTACTCATTTCCCTGAGGATCCATCAACCACAGTCTTTCTGGGGGGAGGGGGTACTGGGGATTAAACCCAGGGACAACTTTACCACTGAGCCACATCCCCAGCCCTTTTTATTGTTTATTTTGAGACAGGGTCTCACTGAGCGGCTTAGGGCCTTGCTAAGTTGTGCAAACTGGCCTCAAACTTGCAATCCTCCTGCCTCAGCCTCTCACATTGCTGGAATTACAGTCGTGCACCATGTGCCTGGCCATCAGCCCCATTCTGAGAAATGTATTAACCACACCAGGGAGACTCATAACCCATGGTCTGTCACCCTCCCCTATAAGATCTGCCCCCATTCCCCAAGCAACCTAGCCCCACCTCCAGGAGTTTGTCCCCAGTCCTGGGTATCATCATTCATGACCCTAAGGACTCCGCTCCCTGGGGAGGGTCTTTCATCCACAGTCCTGGGACCAGTGATCCACACCTGGGAGGTCTCACATGCACACTCCATGGGAGACCCATCACCCTTAGCCCTGGGAATATGGACCACGCCCATCGCTACATCTGTGAACAGCCGCCTGCCACCCACTTTCTGAGAGTCTGTTACATGAACCCTTGTCTCCCACCCTGGCAGCCCACACCCCTGAGGACTCATCACTGTACCTACTTAGCATCCATTACTCTCCCTTGGGCCCCCAAAGTCACATGCAGAGGACAATCCACACTGCATGCCAAGGCTCCTCTGCCCTGTGGCTGGGGGTGGCAGTGTGTCCTCCCGCTGCCCTGTCAGGGAGCCCGGTGCCGCGAGGTGGGGGAGTAAGGGTGATAGGGTGAAGGCAGCAATGCCGGTGGCCAGGGCCAGACCCAGGCCACCCTGTGCCTGGGCAGACCCAGACCCGCAGCAGGCTCACCTCCCGCTCGCGCTCGTTCTTGGTCAGGTGCATCTGCTTGAGGATCTGGGAGCGCTGCTCCATCACCAGGGTCTTCTCGTAGGTGTAGGCGGAGATGTCGCTCTCGTGCTGTGGGCAGGGGCAGGGGCAGTGAGAAGGGCAGGGGGAAGCCTGCGCCCGGGCAGCTGCAAGGCCCAGGGAGGGAGGCCCAGGGAGGGAGGCCCAGGGAGTCCCTGCCCAGGCCCGGGACAGCGGGAGGCAGGGCTGGAGCACAGAGGGCAGCAACCTGGACACTAGGCAGCTCAGCACCAGGCGTGTGAATGATGAGCTAATGAATGAGTTGATCAATGAGTGACCTGGTGGGTGAAGAGGCCGTGGAAAAGAATGAAGGGTGAGTGGACACACAGGAATGAGCGCAGCAGGAGCAGGTGAGTCCGCCAGCAGCCATGTGGGTAAACCAGGGGACACAAGGGGGACAGGCGCAGAAAGTCACTGCGAGGATGGATGAACAAGAGGCTAGGCGGTGTCACCACAGGAACACAGGCTCTGAAGCCAGCCCGCCTGGGTTTGAATCCTGGCTCTGCCATTCACTGTGGGTTGTGGGAGAAATTACTTAACCTTTCTGTGCCTCGATGTTCTAAACTGTAAAAAGGAAATCCTGATAATCACATCGGTCTCGCGGTTGCTGGAGAATGACTGAACATGAAACGCAGGAGCGAGTCCTGCCAGAGGGTGCGCACGATCAGCCTGTTCTTACAAAGGGGCGCGGATGCAGGTGGAAGGAGGGCGGACACCAGGGTAAATGTGCGAGGCTAAGAGGTGGGCCGAGGGCGAAGCCCGCATCATGTGCTGTGGGTGCTGGTGGCCCTGGACGGTGCTGGGGCCAAGGGAGAGGCCCGGGCGCCTCCAGAACTTCCCGGAGCTCCGGGACTCACCATCTCCACCACCTCCACCTCCGCCGTGATGCGCAAATGGTACAGAAACGTGGTCAGGTCCTTCTTCATCTGGATGCTGTTGTCGTCCATCTGGGCCACAGTGAAGATTCGCATCTTGCACTTCCGCCAGACCTGCGCGGGGACCCAGAGAGGTGCAGCGGGGATGTGTCCCCAACCTTCCCACCCCTCCTCGCACACACGCGTGGGCCTCGGGGGCCAATGCTGCAGTCTCCAGCCCAGCTCTGAGGCTCCCGGTGAAAACGTCACCGCTGTCCTTTACAGCAACACGCTCACCTCCAGCCTGAAGCCGGGAGCAGAGCCCCTCCCCGGGAGTCCACCGGGGAGGCCAGATGTGGAGGCCGCCCGCCCCCGGAGGTGCCCACGCGCATGCGCACGCGCACTGACCTTGTGGTGGCGCAGCAGGAAGGGCAGCAGCATGAGCATGCCGCCGTCGTGCACGATCCACCAGACGTCGATGCTGCCCTCGGAGAAGCGCTCGGGGTTCCCAGGGAACATGGACACGTTCTTGGTGACCAGCAGGGCCAGATGGCCAGCTGTGGTTTCCCGGACCAGTTCTGATGGAGCCCCAGGAAGGAAGGAGACCGGGAAACGTGACTCTGGCCCCCAGGTCTACTAGCAGCCAGGGGGCTCCTGGCACCTAGCACCTTCCCCGAACCAGCGTCCACCCGGCCTCCTCACGTTCTGTTTGGATCCGAGGAAGTCCCCCAACCTCTCTGGCCTTCAGCCGTCCCACCTGTCAGATCACAGTGACACCACGTGCCCTGTCTGATTATCAAGAACCCACCACGAGTGGGCTCCCTGAATCCTTAAGGGAGACAGAGCCACTTGGAGTTGGAGTATGTACAGCCTCTGGGGTTGTTGTTAAACTGTGTGACCTGAGGTAAATTCCTTAATCTCTCTGTGCCGCAATCTCACCAATAAAAGAGAGATAAAATGCCTAGTGCTCAGAGGACCCTGATGAGATTAGAGAAAGCCTCCACTTGTCTGGCACACAGAATGTATTCTATAAATGTTAGTTATTGTATTGCTATTTCCAACTATCACCAAGGAGTCAGATGCTCAGAGAAGGTGAGTCACTTAGGCACTATCACACAGCTAGGAAGGACTAGAGTTGAGACGCAGACCTCGGTCACTGTGACTTCAAAGCTGTAGCTCTTCTCCCTGCTCTGCCCTGTCTTTCCCTCAGGCCTTGAGGGCCATGAAGGAGCCAGGACGGTCTCATTCACATCTGAGTCCCCAGCACACAGCAGTGCTGGCACGTGGCCAGCCTTGGCCGCGTCTTCTGCGGGTGCCGAGAGCACACTTGTGCTGGGCCTGGGAAACTCCTCGGGCCCACGGAAGCAGAACCCACCCCTGCCCGGCCCAGCCGCCTGCAGGGTTACCGATGAAGTTCCGCCACGTCTGATGGTCCTCTTTCTGCCTCCAGTTGCGGGGCCAGCCCACGAGCACCGTGTTGTGCTGTAGGCCCCCGAGGCCCCCGGACTGAATCAGGTGGGACACGCCGTCTCGCAGGTTGGAGGAGATCACCACCTGGCAGAAGCCTTTCACCTTCTCTGCCTCCATCAGGCGCCGGATAGACTGGGGGTTGCGGGGACTAGCCTCAGGCCTTCCTGGCCCTGGCTGAGGCCCCTGCAGCCCCCTGGCTCCGTCCCCCTCTCCGTATGTCCCCGTCCTGCTGAAGCTCAGCCCTGAGCATGTCAGAACCGTGCCTCCCTCCTGTCACCTATGAACCCCACTCCTGCAGATGAGTCACAATTTGCCCAGCCTTCCCACCACCCGCCCGATACCCCCCACCACCCAACACATCCCCTGACCCTGCTGGACATCACAGCCTGCCCTCCCTACTGAGTGCCACCTTCTTCAGACACCTCCCTCCACCCAGACTGAGATCAAACTCTCTGATGGGTGGACGATCTGTTTAAAGAATTGGGGGGATATTGGGGATTGAGCCCAGGGGCTTTACCACTGAGCCACACCCCAGCCCTTTTTATTCTTTATTTCCAGAGTCTCACTAAGTTGCTTAGGGCCTCACTAAGTTGCTGAGATTGGCCTCAAACTTGCAATCCTCCTGCCTCAGGCTCATGTGTTGCTGGGATTACAGGCGTGAGCCAGGGCACCGCCTGGCAGGGACCTTTTTCAACGCAGCGTAACAATAAGCATCTTAACGCACAGTTGATGGGCATCATACGGGAAAGTTCTTCTCACTGCCATCTTGTCAGTGAGGAAACTGAGGCTTGACGAGACTAAGACTGGCTCAAGGACCCAGCTAATGCCCACGTGGGCATGTTGTTGGCACAGCCTCCCTGCAGAGCCCACCCCCCAGCGGCTGTCCTGGATCAACAGAGGTTGATTTCCACCTCCGCCACCCCTGGCACGACCTCGGCAAGCCATCTAACCTCCACTCCTACCTGTCAGGGGGGCCGACAGCCAACTCATCTGGGGGCAGGGAGCACTTCGTGCCACACAGCGTGAGGGTCTGGGCCCTGCCTGGCGTGCTGGGACCCTGGCCCTGTCTCCCTCCACTGTTCTCCCTCCTAACAGCCCTCACTGACGGCCGAGGGTCTGAGGCCTGCTGGACGTCCCATCTCCCAGCCCTGGCCTCCTCGAGGGCGGCCACGTGCTCTTAAACAGCTGACCCGCCCGTGCCCGGCCCGGTGCTCAGCACACAGCTCGCCTCAGCCCTGCACATTGCGCTGGACCGGCCAGCTGAAGCCTCCAGCCCTGGGCCCTGACAGATTGGTGTGAACGGCTCAGTGAGGCGGAAACAGAACTGTCACAAGGCATTAGGGGTGTCCTGCCTGCCCCCCTTCCTGGAGCCCTTTCCTTCCTCCAGCGCAGCCACGGCCTGGGGAGAATGGCCCCATCATGGGCCGAAGGTTCTTCCCTCCGGGTCCCCACTGCCCACCAGGCTCCACCCGGCTCGTCCTGCACCTCGCGCGCACACAGTAGCCCCGGCCCACACTGGGCGCTGCTCTGAGGACATGGGCCAGTGGATGGAGACGAGCACATGAGGGGGAGCCACGGACCCGTTTCCAGTCCTGACAGCATCTGTGTGACTTTCACCAAGCTGCTTTCCCTCTCTGGGCCTCAGTTTCTTCCTGGGCCAGAGGTGGGTACGACACATGCCGAGTTCATGCAGAGTGGGATGAAAATGGCCCACGAATGTGAAGACAGTCTGGAATGTTTGTAGTTTGGCAGGAAAATGTCTGAGGTAGGAGTCAAGTGTCTGAATTTGAATCTCTTTTTCTGTCCTTGGACGGGGGACCTGGCTCCTCTATGCCTCGGTTTCCTTATCCACAACACAGGCCCTTCTGTTACCGATGGGCTTCGGTTCAGTGGGTTGAATTCTAAGGGACTGGCTACCTGGGCCCTCAGGCTCCTCTTCTAAGGAAGAAGATGGGAAAAGCCGAGGCCACTTGATCCCCGAGGTTTCAGGGTGAGGGGCACACAGTGTCTTCCTGCGCGCCCTGGCCTGGCCCCGACTCACCTCCTCTGCCCGCTGGGCCTGGGGATGGTTGTCCAGAAAGGTGCCCTCCAGGACTGAGCCCACGATGGTCAGGCCCTTCCCTGCCTTGAGCTGAGAGGTCAGGGAGAGCAGCTGGGGGTGCACCACATTCTGGTCCTGGTCCACGCGCACCAGCACCAGCAGCTGAGGCCTGCCGAGGGGACAGTCACAGGACCCCCGTGTGCACTCCCCAGCCACCCACTGCACACCCATCACCAGTTCCCTTACCATCTCCTCAGTGCCCACCCCCTGTGCCCATCACCTGTCCCTCTGAACAGTCAACCATCCACTTCTGCAACCATCCCCCCAATGTCCATCCCTCCACCCACCGCCCAGCCCGCCATCCACCCACTCGGCTCTGCCTGTGCAGCCACCCACTCACCCTTCAGTCTCCCCCTTCAGTCCCCCTCATACCCAGGCCGTCCACCTCTGGGTGCATCCTCACCCCACGCCCACCCACCACCATCCATTCACACTCCCACCCTTCACCACCGCCCTCCGCCCGCAGGGCACCCTCAGCCTTCACGTGTCTCCTTATCTCTCCGTCCACCTCCGGCCAGTCCCCAAGCCCCTGCTCTCGACCAGACCCTGTGCTGATCGTCTGAGGATTCAAATACCGCCAAGCCCTGGGTCCGGAGCTCACGGCTTGACCGGCCCAGCTCGTGCCTCACTCTTGGCAGAGGGGCCCGGAGGTGAGCCAGGGTCTGGGCCTGCAGAGCAGCAGGCAGAGGGCAGCTAGGCCGAGAGGCTCGGGGAGGCTCCGGTTGGGTTTTGCCTTCTGTGACCCCAGGACCCCTCTGACCCCTGACCTTCATGTGAATGAAAAGGAGGGACTGTCACTAGTCCAGAGTCCTGAGAGCTCCACGTTCTCTAAGTGAGAGAGCAATCCCACCTGTCTCCGTGGCCTTCCCTGCAGAAGCGCGAGCTCGCTACATCCCAGAGACTGGGAGGCCCGGCCCCGCGTTCACCAATTTTTTGAACCAACAGCTGAACACGTGGTCAGGAGGCCAGCAAGCTGGGTGGCACGTGGAGAGCGAACCGAGTGATCAGAGGCGGCCACGGAGCAAAACAAGGTGGGTGGGGAGAGTCGGCCCTGCTCCCTTCCTGTCCCCCCAGCACTCACCAGGCGCCCCTCGCACTGACCTCCAGTTCTTGGTGTGCGGGGGCCCTTCCTCCAGGCGCAAGAGGGCATAGCGAGCGGCGCTGAGGGACAGGCCCCGGATCCCATCGCCCCATTCCTTCTCTGCCCTGGGGGCAGGAGGGGACCACGTGAGGCCAGAAATCCCGGAAATGGCAGTGAAAACCCTGCACACAGAACTGGCTGCCCCAGGGCACAGACATCCCTCCCTCCTCTCCCAGGCTCAGGAAGGGCAGGCAAGTCCCCGGCCGCTGGCTCCGTCAGTCACCCAGCCACCGAGCCGCTGCTCCCTTGGAAACACTGCTGTCACCACCCATTTCTCAAAGCCCCCACCCATCTCCCGTCTCCCAGTCCCACCCCATCACTGCGCCCTCCACTCCAGCCCTCCCCCCACCCAGCCCCCACCGTCCATCCCCCACCGCCCCTGTGGGCCTCCCGCTCACCCGCGGTACTCGATGTACTTGTAGATGAGCCCCGCAATGAGCATGGCCACCAGCGCGTAATACCAGGAGCAGATGAACATGAGGGCCAGGCAGAGGCTCATGCCCAGGAAGGAGAGGGTCCTGCACGTGGAGAGAGACCGGCGTGGACAGTGAGAGTCGTGGAGCAGGGCCTGACCAGACCTGGGTGACTGAGCACCCTGGAGATCCGAGGCCGTCTGGATGGAGAAGCAGCCACAGACAGGCACCACCCATGTCCCCGTCAACTCCAGAGTCACCTTAGCCCAGGCTGGACAGCCCCAGCTACATGGGCTCTCAGATGGGGTCCCTGAAGAGGCCACCAGCAAAGGGGAACAAGGGAGTGGAGGTGGCAGCCCCCGTACAAGCCCCATGATGCCACAGTCTTCCCGGTGGCCTTGTTTGAACTCAGTGTCGTCTTTCTAGAGTGAACAGGGTCATCCCTGCGGTCCTACTATGAGCATGAAAAGCCATAAAGTAAAAGAATAAGAGGAACTGCGGGCTCCTGGAAGGGGGTCCCCCTCCGCTGGGCAGGACCGCTCTCCAGAGCCCAGCAGAGGAGCAGTGAGCAAGCCCCTCTTACAGCAGGGGACAGGTTCAGACTGCCACGTCCTCAGCAGGGAGCTCACAGCCAGAGTCACATTTTGGATTTGCATCAGCTGCATCTGACCCGCGCCACGTCGTTAAGAAGCTGAGCACCCTGGACTGGGCGGGGTGATGCTGAGGCTGCTGCTGACTATGCTTCATGCCTCTCCAGGATCGGCCTCCCACTAGCTGGGCCACGGGAGGGGGACAACGGGACGTCGCATTCAGGTTTGGGGTCCTTGGACCTGAAGGAGCCAGCCTTTGGGGTTGGGTGGAGGTAAGAAATGGGTGGGGCGGGCTGGTGGACAGGGCACCCACCAGTGGTAGTATCGAAAGCGCGGCCTCCAGTTGGGCGTCCTCAGCAGCGTCTGCACGGCACAGGCCAGGTTCACGAACATGTAGCACATCAGGAAGAACCTAGAGCACACAGAGCCCCGGAGAGAGAGATGCACAGGGAGCAGAAACAGAAATGGAGACATGGGGGAGGGGAGCAGGGGAGAGACCACCGGCGCCTAAGGGGTCCCAAGGCCAAATCCCCTTCTAACCCACTCTGATATTATGGGGTGGATCTCTATATAACAAAGGACGGGCTTCCATGACTGACAGGAAGTCCCCGGGGGGACCAAAGTGCTCAGGTGTGGCCTGGGCCACGGCTGGAGGATCCAGGGAGAGGCACGCACATGGACAGGATGGGGGCCACCTCGTCGAGGGAGGCAATGAGGATGCCGATCTCGCAGATGCAGGCCGTCAGCAGCAGTGCCCACGTCGGCTCTCCATTGGCTTTGCCATGGCCAAAGACCTGGGGACAGAGCAACCGTCTCGGGGGACTGAGACCGGGCGGTCTTCTGGTCTCTGTCCTCCAGTCTTAGAAAACAGGAGGCAAGGCGGGAATCCTACAGACATGAGCCGTGGGAGAGGAGGCTGCATTTTTCATCCTCTGGGGCACCCGAGGGAACGGCAGATTTTGCCAGGTCTTGCCCACCCTGACATTGGCACCCTAGTGCAATGAAGTTCCAATGACCCCTGATGGCAAAGGAAGTTCCGGTCAGATGGGCAGATGGGAGAGGAGCTGACCGGAGGCCAGCAAGTGACCATGATATGTGCTCCATACTGTTTTTAAGCACCCTGGAGAGCTCCCTACCCCACCCCCACCCCCGCCTTTTCTTGCCATTTTTCTGCTTCTCTGAGTCCTTGGCCAACAAATGGAGCCAGGGGAGGGCCATTTATTTTCCCCTGAGAGCAGAAAATTCTCAAAATGATGGCACTGACCACAATCCAAATCCCAAATGAGATCCACCCATTCCTCTTAATGCAGTGTCAAGCAGAAGGGCCCAGGAGCAGCCCAGGGTGGCCCCAGAGGCTACGCTGTCTCCTCGGCAGCCCCCAGGCAGGGGCCTGGCTGGCTGACCTACTGGGTGGGGCTGCCCTCCTGCCCACACTGACCTGCAGGAAGGGCACTATGCCATCCCGGGAGATGGCCTGTAACAGGCGTGGGGCCCCCGTGAGGCTCTGAAGCCCAGCCCCACAGGTGGAGAAGAAGGAGCCGATGACAATGACCCAGGGAGATGGCCAGGCCAGTGTGCCCACCACCAGGTTTCCATTCACAGCTTCACCAAACCTGGAATAAAGCAGTAGGGGAACAGACATCGCCGAGTGAGCAATGCCACCTGGACTTCCAGGCTGGGGTCTCCCACGCCAGCCGCGGGGCTGATCAACGCATTAGGCTCTGCAGGCGACAGAGAAAAGGCGACTCCTAAATATCCCGGGCACCTCCTGCCCTGTGTGACCTTGAGCAGATCACTTCACCTCTCTGAGCCTCAGTTTCCTCAGCAATGGGAACCATCATGAGCCTCTTCCATATAATGGGTGAGAGAATCCATATGTAAAATGCTCGCTATGGTGCACAGAGCACGGCACTAGCAAATTGGGGGTTGTCAGTACTCTGTCATCCTGAGAAAGTCTCTCAGCTTGCTAGGATCTCAGGGCCTCCATGTGAAAAATGGGTTTCTGGCTGCATCATGTGGTGATGGTGTAAGAATCAAAGACAAAAATCTTCTTAAAATAGAAGGGCAGGCTGGGTGTGGTGGTGGCGCCTTCAGACCCAGTTACTCTGGAGGTTAAGGCACGGGAATCACTGGATCTCAAGAGCCCAGGAATTCAAGACCAGCCTGGGCAACACAGAGAGACCCCAACTCAAAAGGGGGACACTGTTGAAGGACTCCAAGACCCTGGGTGAAGCACTGTAGGGGTGATCTGCTGGAACCCTGCAGTCCTGTGGGAGGTCTATGATTAAGTGAGATAGACGGAGGTCAAGCTGCCCTGAAGCTAATTGGTGTGATATGTGCAAATTGCCCCCTTGGCCAGGTCACTCCCCTGCTTATCATTTTCAAGGTTTCCTCCATTAAAAAAAAAAAAAAAAAAAAACAGTAAAGAAAGCTTCAGTTTCCAGGTATGAGAGTCAGGCCTTGATCCTGGCTCCCGCCGGTCTCCAGCCCCGGGGCCCCCATTGCATTACCTTCGAGAGGCCAGGTGCTGGGGGAAAGTGACTCTGTGGTAGGACCTCCTCCCTCCCCCCTCGTAGTGCTCCAGGGACATGGAACCACCACAGCCACAGGTACGCACACACGCAAGCCATTTCTCCCCCTCCCCTGTTCATGCCGTCCCATGTCCCTGCTGCTGGCATGTCCTTCCCCCTCCTAGCCACCTAATTAATCTCTACTCAACAGTGGACGTGGGAAGGGTGAATGAGACACAACCCCCTCAGTATCCAGGATACCAAACTCCGAGATGCTCACGTCTCTTACATAAAACGACACAGGGTTTGCACATGACCTATGCACATTCTCCCGAATATTTTAAAACGTTTCTAGATCACTTCTAATACCTAATGCAGCAGAGTTCTGGGTAAGCTGTATCGCGGAGGGGAGGATGACGGGGACAGGGCTGCATGTGCTCTGTGGTTGGGGAGGACTGAACAGCGCATAATCCATTTGCAGCCCCAAATCCCTGAGAACTGGATGGCAGCCCCCACCCCTGCACATTCCCGTAGCCCCTGGGCTCTCTTTCAGGCCAGTCTGACCGCTGGGCACTTGAAGTTGCTTACAAGTTGGCTACCACCCCCAAAGAGCACTTCTAGGACAAAACTGTGAGCTCTTTGTCTGTGCTCACCCAAGAACCCCAGACAGTGACCTACCCACAGATATATAAATATCAGGTGATTTCATGAGCAAATAGGCTTGTTTCTTTAAAAAAAAAAAGAGAGAGAGAGAGAGAGAGAGAGAGAGAGAGAGACTATCGTTGTCCTAAAGGAAATGATTTAACATCCAAGCTTCCCAAACGGGCATGAGAAAGACAAATATGACCAGAAGATCAGTGGGGAACAACCGGTGGCCCCTCACGGAGGTCTGCACCCTGAACGGTGTGTTTCCAGAATCCAGCCTCCTGCACCCACCCTTGCCCAGACAGGTCCGACTGATCCCCTCACTTACTTGTCCCGCAGGACGACCCCCTCGATGCAGGCCCCAAACAGGACAACAGAGCTGATGTCTACACAGAGGGTGAAGGAGAACCTCAAAGTGCAGGTAGCCCACACCCCCACCCCGGACCAGCCGCCTCCCCCAGCACCCCCCCCCGTGGTCCCCATCCAGCAAGGCAGGATACAGACCGCAGAGGTGGTGGCGATGGCCAGGATGGTGCCCGTAGGGATGGACTTCTGGGCATCCCGCAGGTCCCCAGAGCGGTTGGAGCCCGCCATGATCCCTGCAGAAGGAGAATACCTCAGACAAGCGCCAGGCACACGGGAGACCAGACTGACCAGGAAGAAAGGACACAACTCGCAGTTGGGAACCCGGGGCCCGGTCATGGCAAGTGGACTCGGCTGAGGTCTGGCCTTCACGCCTCGTCGTCCACTCAGGACTGATGGTGGCTCTGCTTACGTGGCGGGGTCGTCAGACTAAGAATCCTGAGGAGCCCCCTCTGGCCTGGCCTGCTCGTCCCTCCCAGGCAGACGCGCCCTCCAGAGCTCCCTTCACCTGTGACTGACGGGAAGTAGATGCCGACCAGCAGGGTGAAGTAGGAGGTCATATCACTGAAGACGTAGGGGTGGTCCATGTCGACGGGAGTGCCATCTGCCAGGCCCACCGAGGGCATCCCACGCTTCTCCACAATCACCCCCTTGGTGAGGTAGGAGCTCCACAGGTTCTCTGTGGGGAGACGGGATGCTCAGGGGAATCCAGGGGTCGGGAGACCAGGTTTCTGGGGCCATGAGGTGGGGCTCCCTGGTCTGGGCTATGTTTTATTCCCACTGACATTTCCTCTGTCCTGCTTGCTGCTAGGCCATGTGCATAGATTTCGCAGATGAATAGGACCCAGTCCCTGCCCTCAGACAGCCCCATCTAGTGGGGAAGACCCACAAGACTAACTCAGACTGACTCCATACGTCCCAGGTCGACCTGGTCACTGCCCCCACGCCATTCCTGCCTCTTAACCCAGAATGACACCACTACCTTGGCCTTGCCCTCCACCACTCCCTCCCCTCCCCCACCTCAAAACATGGCCAACCTCTGCCCATCCCCCTCCTCAGCGTTTCTCAGATGCCCTTGTTTTCATTCCAGGTTCCTCTGCCTGGCCCAAGTGACATGTCGGCCAAGTGACTCTGCCGTGGAGGGCTACCCACAGCCAGCAGGATGTTAGCCGCACCCCCACCTCGACCCTCTAACTTTCGGTCACACCCCCAGTTTTAACAACCAAGCGATATCTCCAGATAGGCCAGATACCTGGTGGGTGGCAAGAGCACCCTGTGAAGGACCCTGTCCCATTTCTGCCAACACTCCTCCTCTAGCTCAGAAGGAATGTCATCTCCACGGGTTCCGTGTACCTCCTTGTGGACCCCACTGCCTTCAGGACACAGCCCAACCTCTCCGGCTTCTGAGGCGGCCACAGCTGGCCCATGCCAGCCTCTCCAGCACCACTTCCTGCCCTCTTTCCTTTGCACTTTAAGCCCCAGTCATGCCAGACAACTTGTGGTTGGGAGGACACACTATGCCCGTCTGTGTCTGCGAGCGCTAAGCAGCTGTTCCTCGGTTTGAGATTCCCTTATGCCCTGATAGAACTCCAGGCTCACATTTGTCCTTCAAAACCTGCCTAAGGTGGGTATAAGAATCTCATCTTGTCACCTGCTGCACCTGAAGCCTCCCTCCCCTGAGAGTTCTCCATTCACCGAATACACATCTACGTGTAATGGAATTTACTTGCTAATGTGTCTCTCTCTGTCACTAACTCCTTGGGGACAAGGACTGTGACTTATTTATTTTGTGTTACTAGTACTTAGCACAGAGTTGGGCACTTGGCAGGTATTTAGTGAACATCTGTTAAAGTGGTGACTTTCTTTCCTTCTACTGGTGAGATTCTTGGCTCCTTTGCATCCCCACCCCTCCATGAGGCTAGGCCCAGAGTAGGTGCTCAATTAAAGCTGATTGAATTTAACTGAATCCCAAGGAGGGCCTCTTCATCTGACCTCGTGACCTACAATCCCCGCAGTGCTCCCTGGACACAGCCTCTTCCCTCCCCCAGACCTTTGATGAGGCCGCTGGCAGCGCCAGGAATGCCCTGGATCTCCGTGACATTGTTTCGGGTGAAGTACTCATCACAGGTAGCGTTGAGAAAACGTGAAGAGCAGAACAGGCCCCAGAGCCGCGTGGTCACCGTCTCATTTCCTTCCCAGGCCAGCTTGGCACAGACATCAAAGCCATGGCGCGACAGCGTGCGGTTCCCCAGGAGGCAGATCCTAGGGAGAGGAACAAGCTAGGAAGATGGGGGACAAGGCCTCACCCTGGCTTCACAACGGAACCCCAGGGGACCCAGGGCCCGCACCAGGGGGATCTGGTCTCATTTACATGGAGCCTGTGCCCGTGTTTGGGGGGTTTGGTTGGGTTTGGTTTTTCCGAAGCTCCTCCAGCGATTCTAATTTCAGCACCGTGGACAGCAGTCTCCAGGCCGGGAGGGCGCCCCGTTCAGAGACCTGAGGCGGGCCCCTCTGTTCTGCGTCCCTTCCCATCCTGGAGGGGCCGTCCACACTAAGGCTGTCCCGTTCTTGGAGTTGTCCTATCCAGTGTGGATCCTTCAGAGGTCGATCCCTTTCCCTTCTTCCTAAGCCCACCCACCAGCCAGCGGCTGACCCTCACCAGGGAAACTGCTCCCACCCTGAGGAAGCAGCCCAGACAGGGAGAGGTCTTCCTCCCACAGAGTGGCTCCCCACCCACACCCCTTCTGCGAGGCACGGAGAGGGGGCTTGGCAGGGGCCTGAACCAGGGGCAGGCAGAGGGGATGGCCGTGCCTTGGGCAGCACTCACGGAAAGTTGGGTGGGTCGAAGGCAGACTTGATGACCCCGGCGTAGATGGCCAGGATGGACAGGATGACACAGCCCAGGAAGACCAGGGCGAACTTGTTGACATACTTGACGCCCACAAACACCACAGTGGCCATGCAGGTGAGCACGCAGGTGCCGTAGACACGCATGTTGTTCAGCATGGCCGCCGCCTCTCCGCTGGCATCCTCTGCCTTGAAGATGGCCATGGCCGGGAAGAGGTACGCCTGCAGGAAGCCGGCCAGGGGTCAGGCAGGGGACCCAGAGAGGACCAGCTGAGGCTCACCCCAGGGAAGTCATCTGAACATGGGCACGGCTGTGGGGGCCGGTGACGCCCGCCACGGCACAGCGAGTGGGGCCAAGACCCCGGGTCCTGAGGGTGGCCGAGGAAGGGCGGCCCACCCTGCAGGACAAGGCCTCAGCCGTCAACCACAATGATGAGCGGCCTGTGGTCTCGCACTTCCAGCAGGAAGGTGGAAGGAAATCGGTGTTCATTACCAGAGGTTGGGCAAATGAATCACATTCCGACATAAACTACGGGGCTGTTAGAAAAGGATGCACAGGGTCACCGACAGCCCGCAGCACAGCGCGTGCTCAGCTCGCACACAAGGCCCTGGGTTCGGCTCCTAGAGCACACACACCCACACACCCACACACACCCTCACACAAACCATGGGTTTATATAGGCTGACTAAAAAAACTACACGTGTGATATTGGTGGACTTAATCAGATTTAAAATAAGAATGCTGTATGATCTCATTGTTGTAAATTTATCTGTGAAGACAGAGATATGTGTATGTCTGCAGCGTGTCTGCAGATACATCAAAATATTAACAGCGGTTTCCCCTGAATCATTAAATTGTGCCTAATATTTATTCTTCTTGCACATCTGCACTTTCTAAAGTCTCTGTGCTAAACATTAGTATGTTTATATTCTCACAAAGTTATCTTCTCTTCATAAGAGTTTCCAGTTATTCAGGGAGATTCTTATAGCGTGAAGGTATATTTACAAAGATGGAATACAACATCATTTAGAAAAGCAAAAACTAGAAGAAAATGCACCAAAAAGATCCTGATGATTTTCTCTAGATGATATTTTTCCCTTTTTTCAACACTTTTTTATTTAATATTTTTCCTGTTTTATGTAGTGGGTAGTTGCGGGTGGCGCTGAGGACCAAGCCCAGGGCCTCACACACGCTGGGCAAGCACTTTACCACTGAGCTTCATCCCCAGCCCAGAATTTATTATAATACACATTTTAAAATCTTTAATTTAAAATAATGTTGTAGTTGTATGTGGACATGATGCCTTTATTTTTTAACTTTATCTTTTTTTATGTGGTGCTGAGGATCAACCCTAGCGCCTCACAGTGCTAGGCAAGCGCTCTGCCGCTGAGCCACAGCCCCAGGCCACAATATTTAATTTTTAAAAGTCACAAACGTCTGTTCTTCTTCTCTCCCCATTCGTCTCCTCGGGTCTTCCGGTCCCCATGCATCCTCTCCACCCCTGATTTCTCCTGTCCTGCTCCCAAGCCGGAGCTCTGGCACCTTGAGCAATAGCTCTTCAAGGCAGTGCGGTAGGGCCAGGGGGCAAGCACAGACTCTGGAAGCCCAAAGACACAGGTCCACGTCCTCCCCATGTCCCTTAGGCTCTCTGAGACTTGCTTTCCTCATTGTCAAGTGGTCATCTTCCAGCTCGTGAACGAGTCAGGAGGGTAAAATCAAATGACATGCAGCGAGCCTCAGAGCCTGCGTAGGACGGGGCGTGGGACTGTCGGCTCTGCCTTCCGTAAACCAGGGTCCCTCACTGGCACCCACCTGGGCGAGGAGGGTCTAGCAGCCCTGTCCTTCAAACACGGCCCAGGGCCTGCCTTCTGCCCATTTGCCACTGCTCCTAACAGACCTCTTTCCAGGGGTCCCCACGTGGTTCTTATCTCTTGTCATTCAGCAGCCACGGGCCCTTTAGAATGACCATTCCCGGAGTCCTTGACACAGTCCCTGGCACGTGGGAGGAAACCACATGGTAGCTATTGTGTGGCTTCACTGCTTTTATTATTATTATTATTATTATTATTATTGTTATTATTTAGTTGTAGTTGGACACAATACCTCCATTTTATTTATTTTTACATGGTGCTGAGGATCGAACCCAGGGCCTCGCACGTGCTAGGCGAGCGCTCTACGCTGAGCCCCAGCCCCAGCCCCTTCACTATTATTAATTCTACTATGATTTTAACTCAACCCATCTCTGCCACCTTCCTGAAAACTGAGTGACCCTGGGCACGTTATCTTACCTCTCTGAACTTCTCATTTGTAAAACGGGCGTCATAATATTTAACCCTTGGGAGGATTCAAGCTAATGGCTGCACAGCACTTGGAACGGTGCTGTGAGCTCGGTGTGGGCCTGATGAACGACAGCTGTTGGTGTTGCATAATTATTGTATCTCCTCTCCCCAACTAGGCTGGGAACGCTTTCAAGACAGAACACCTGATTCCTCTGGGCCTGGCTGAGCAGCCTGGCCAACCCGAGTCTCAGGAGCACTGGTTCCCTGGCTGACCGCCTGGGACCCCACGTCTCCTCCTCAGACCCTCTTTTTTCAGAAAGATTTTTAGCTGTAGATGGACACAATATCTTTATTTTATTTATTTTGTTTGTGGTGCTGAGGATGGAACCCAGTGCCTCACTCATGCCAGGCGAGCTCTCTACCCCTGAGCCCCAGCCCCAGCCCCCTCAGCCCCTCTCACCAGCAGGATCTCGATGGTGCCCAGGATGTACATGGCCCCAGCAAAGGTAGTGCCGAGGTAGAAGCAGAGGCCCACGGCGCCCCCAAACTCTGGGCCCAGAGACCTGGAAATCATGTAGTAGGAGCCACCAGCTGCAGAGAAAGCGAGTGTCAGCAAGAGGGCCCAGGGGCACTGGGCTGCTCTAGGGGACGAGGAGGGCTCAGTGACAGAGGGCAGAAAGGGTTGCTCTGCCGCAGGCTGCAGCCCCCAGCAAGGGGACTGGGGGAGATCCAGCCAACCATTCTGTGTGGATCTTGCAGCACTAATTAGCAGCATGTTGCTAATTACCCCTGTAAGGAGGTCATGGCCCAGAAGCTACATGTCACCATCCTAGGAGGGTCTCAGGCTGAGGGGGGAGGGCTGACACTGCCCTATTCAACCCCCACAATGGCCTCCCTCTTCCACTCCCAAAAAGGCTGTCCTGGCCTACCCCATAAGCAGACGGAGCCCAGGCCCCTGGTCTGCAATATTGCCTCTCTCAGGTCCCTCCTTCTGACCATCAGGCCCCTCCCGCTCCCTGGAAGCGCCTTCACATACCAGGCACAACACCATTGGTTGCAATGGCACTCATGGAGATGGCCGTGAGCATCGTCTGTAGAAGAGAGATTATCAGAGTGGCGGCTGCCGGGGGCCCGCAGTGGCCTGGGTGGAGGCCAAGCCGTTTACCCCGTAAACACCAGCCAAACCCACAGGTTCTCTTCTGCTGAGCTTCTCCCTGGGCCTGTTCCAACTTCTCTTTGTGCCAAGTCCTTCTCAAGAAAAACTCTTATTCACCATGTGAGTGGATGTTCAGGAGCGTCAGTACCAGAGAGCTCTGGAAACCCCAGTTTGGCCCCCAACCAGCCACGTGACCTGGGACAGCTCACTTCGCCTCAGTTTCTTCATCTATAAAATAGGTGCAATGACTTCTGCACTGGGTACGTCGCATGCAGAGCTGTCTCAAGGTTATATTCGAGGACACAGAAACGTGTAAAAGAATTTGGAGTTCATTGAATAGTTGACTTTTTAGAGAGAATGAGAAGAATCCAGTTGCAATGTTGTTTGTGAAATATAATCTCAATCTACCAAAACGTCAGGTTTTGTGGGATTATCGGTGAACTCTAATTTCTTTGCTATGCTTATCATTTTATCAATGAATCTGCATTTAATTACTTGTGTAATTAAACACACTCGCAGATCCATGTGAAACCTGGTCAACAGCCATCAGGGACGAGCCCATGAGATGCGGAAGGGCCAGTCAGACCCAATCTCCTCTCAAAAGTCACCAGCAGTGGCTCCTATAGAAAGCCCAGGTCTTGAGCCTCCACCTCCCACCTCCCACCCCCAGGCCTCTGCCAAGCCCCAGCTGTCACAGGGGGCAGTGTCACTCACACAGGAGCAGCAGATGAAGACCATGCAGAAGGACTCCATGATGCCCGCTATGCCCACCACCCAAGTGAGTCTCAGGAAGAGGATGACGCCAAAGATGTTCTGCAGACATGGGAGGTACACACCCATAAAGGTGCCCATGCGCGGGGCCTGCAGGGAAGCCAGCGTCAGTGTCTGGAGCCCCCCCATCACCAGCACCCGCCCGCTCCTCCTCTGTGTCCCACTCTTAGTCCTGCCCTCTCCTTCCCCAGCCCTCATCCTGCTCCTCTGACTGGGGGTGTGCTGCTGGGGATCAAACCCTCAGCCTCACGCGTGCGAGGCAAGCGCCTTTCTACTCTGAACTGCATTCCCAGCCCTTTTCATTTTTTTCTTTTGAGACAGGATCTTATTAAGTTGCTTAGGGTCTCACTGAGTTGCTGGGACTGTCCTCAAACTTGCCATCCTCCTGCTCAGCCTCCCAAGTTGCTGGGATCTCAGGTGTGGGCCTCCTGCTCAGCCTCCTTCGGGTTTCGCATACTCTTTCCTTCCTCTCCTCCAGCCCCCACTCCACTCCACCATCCGTCCTTCGAGCCACCTCCTCCCTCCTCCCTCCCATCTCCATCCTTCACCTCCTTGCCCTCCCTCCCCCGCCCTGCCTCCAACACCTCGGCCTCTACCGTCCACCCTCCATCCTTATCCGCCTCCTCCCAGCCTCCCGCCAGGCCCCACCTGCACCGGCTTCTTTTTCCCGCCCTCGTTGTTTTCTGCCTCCTCGTGCTCCCTGCTTCCCTGGGGCAGGTTGGTGTAGTTGGCCAGGCCACTGAGCAGGGAGGACACCATGGGGCTGGTGTCCATCTCCTCCTACGAGGAAGGGTGTCAGTGTCAGGAGCCGGAGGCCCAGGGGAGGGCTGGGAGGAGCTGAGGGTGGGAGCAGAGGGCCCAGGACAGGGAGAGCCCTGGGTGGGGTGACGGGGCCCAGGGAAGGAGGATGGGGGCGCAGAGAGCGGAGAGGGTGAAGCCGGGGGGAGGGCGACCCAGGCGGAAGGTGGCCCAAGGGAGGGGTGGAGAGGATGCGCTCTTCCTGAGGAGGAAGGAGGAGACGGACGGGTGGCGGGGGTCGGCCAGCCCGAGCAGCCCACCTCAAACAGGGCCATGTTCTTGCCGTCATACTCCTTGCCCCTCTCCGTGTCAGTGCTGTTGATGAAGGGGCTGCTTTCCTTGGGGTTGCCATCACCTGAGGAGGCAGAGAGTCAGGGGTCTGCCACCAACTGTTTGTCCTCCGTCCACCTGGGCATACAGTTGTGCAGCCACTTGGACTCTCTGAGCCTTGGTCTGCACGTTAGAAAAATGGGGCTCATGCTATCTTCTCTGTAGAATGGACAAAGAGCCTGTTACACTGCCTGGCAGAGGGTGAACTTGTGAGTGCTTCCTTGCTCTGGGGGGGGGCTACTTCATTCACCAGAGTACCCCAAGATCCTCCAGAGACCCCATTTTTTCCTAAGGTACTAGGGATCAAACCCAGGGCTTCACACATGCGAGGAAAGCACTCCACTGCTGAGCCACAGCCTCAGCCCTTTTATGTTCTATTTTGAGGCAGGGTCTCACTAAGTTGCCTGGGCTGGCCTCAAACCTGCAATCGTCCTGCCTCAGCCTCCCAAGGAGCTAAGATTACAGGTTTGTGCCCCATGCCACTTAGAGTTCCTTCCTGAACATAACCAGGACCATCCTGGTGCTTTGGGGTGGACGCATGTTCCTTCCTGGGGAGAAAGGAGAAGAGTGCGGTCTGAAGCCCCAAGGATACTGCACGTCCTGGGAGGTAGACCTCCCACTGCCCCCCTTCACTGTCAGTCAACCGGATGTCTACCAGGTACCAACATGGGGAAGTAAACACACAGAATGAGATGCCGTCCTTGTCCTTCAGGAACCAAGCCAAGGGAGATGAAGCAGTGATCAGGAATTTCCAGCAGATGCTGAATTTATTTGTGGTGAAGCACTATTGGGAGCTCAGGCTGTGTGGGAACCCAGGAGGGCACTCAGCCCAGCCTGGGAGGTTACGGAAGGCTTCCCAGAGGAAGTGACGTGTTGGCTCAGAACTGAAGGATGAGTAAGAGCTAGACTGGGAGGGAGGCGGGGAGGGTGTCCCAGGCAGAGAGAATAGCAGAACAGCATGTTCAAAGGCCCAGAGGGGAGAGTGAACCGAGTGGGTTAGAGAAGCTCAACAAAGTATGGTCTGCTGGAGTTGCAGGAAGGGGCATGATGGGGCTGAAGAATAAGAAACGGCAAAGATGAGCCTAGGAGTGTAAATGTGGGGTGAGCCTTTGACCAGGTAGCAGATGATCTTAAAGAATTTGGAGGACAGTGGGCAATCATGAAGAGTTTAACACAAAGAAATGTCACAAACAGGCGAGTGTGTTTCAGAGCCATCACTCTGGCCTTTAGGTGAGGAATACAGGAACTAGAGACTTCTGGTATCCAGGCAAGGGCTGGGGATGACCCAGACCAGGGCAACGTGAGGCAGTGGACAGACTCGGGAATTACTGGCACATTTCTATGTCAGATGATTGGGAAAGGGGGAGAGGAAAAGAATCCAAGATAATGCCTGGGGTTCTACCATGGTGAACGGGTGGGTGATGGTGCTACCTTAATAATTTGGGAGACAAGAAAAGGGGTTTGGGGTGGGGCAGATGCTGAATTTAGTTGTGGTGAAGCACTATTGGGAGCACGATCTGGAAGCCACCGGGATATATGGATCAGATACACCAAGGACAGAAGCTGGGCCAGAGAAAGGAGAGCAGAGTCCCACGTAAAGATGCGCAGGCAGAGAGCTGAGCCATGCCTCAGTGAGATCACTCAAGGAGAGAATTCCCCGGCATCAGGAGAGGGGTCCCTTCAGAAAGACCTGAGGTCTCTGCAGGTACCTTCCCTCCAGGCACCATCTTCCCCAGATGCAGGGCTGAGTCTCAGTAGTCTCTCTGGACCCTAGAGAGACTCCCCAAATCCCCAGTGAAGTTGAGGCCCTGTGTACCCTTGAATCTCAGTCCCCTCCTCTCTTGGTATCCCTCTCTTCCCATCCCCATCTGTTCGAATGCTCTGCCTCCTTCTCCTGACCTCCTGGACACCTTCCTAGTAGTCCATACAGGGCCCATTTCCAGAGCATTACCTGGCCCTCTTTTAAACCCACTTCCATCCTGACTAAAAACCGGGGCACAGGAAAGAAGTAACGTCTTACCTATTCCAGGGAAGCCCACCACCTCCCAGTCTCCTGCCTCCACTTCTACTCACTCATCAAGACGAGGGTGCCTAATAGAGGAACATCACCAGCTCTTTCTTCTCACATATGAGAAAAACAGAGAGATGTTCAGGAAACAGTCTTTGGAGATAAATTCCTCAGGTCTCCCTTTATGGCCCCAGGTCATAAGAGAGCTGTCTGGGGCCACCGAACAGGAGAAATAAGAGTCAGGTAGGTGGCCCTGTGTTTAGAATGCTGACAAGGTGCCTCCTGTTCTCACCGCATCGTGGTGAGCACTAGAGAGGCTGAGGGAGGGGCATGGGATGAGAGGAATTTCCTGATGGTTCAGGAAAGGGGCTGGAGTCGGAGATCCAGGTTGCAGCCCCAGTGTCACTGGCTTTGCCTTCACCTCGGCAAGTCACTCTCTAAGCAAAGGGAGAACGCCCGGTGTTTAATTCATGGGTGGCGGGGGATTAACTGGAATAATGCGGGTTGGGTGTGCCCACACAAGTTAGCTATGCGCTACTATCACACCCCTGGGGCCTGCCAGTTGGGGCTTCTCATCCAACAGCCTCCCTCAGCCTCAAGATTTAGGGGTTGCTCTGTCTCCTGTCAGACTAGGTCCCTCCCCAGAAGTGTCCCCTTTTAGGACCAGGACTAGACATGACAGACCCTCCAATCTGCCCTTTTACACCCCCTTCCTAGTCCTTCTTCCTTTACTGGGGGTACGGAGGGAGCAGGGACCCAGAAAGGACCGGAAGGGGGCAAGCTGGCCGGAGACCCCGTAACGAGGCGGCCCTGCGCCGGTCTCCATGGTGACCGCGCGGGCCAAGAGCGCCGCGCCAAGCCGAGCAGGCCACGCGCCCGCAGCCGCTTATGTAACGCGGCGCGCAGCGCAGACCCGACTCCAGGCCGGATCCCGGCCAGCAGGAGAGGGCAGGGGAGGGGGCGCCTCGGCCAGCCCCAGTCCCGCGTTTCACCCGCCGCCGGGGCGGGACGCCAGGCTGCTGGCCTGTCAGCCAGGCCGGTGGGTCCCCTCCCCGGAACGCCCAGCGCGCGGCTTGGGGGGTGGGGAGTGAGCTCCGAGTTCTCGCAGGAGCAGGACAGCTCAGGGGAACTCGCCCTGACCCCCGAGCCAGAGTCGGGGTGACGGGGAGCGCTGGGCGGCGCGCGAGGCAGGCCAGACCGAGGCTCAGCCTCCCGCCCCCGCCCCCGCCCCCTGGGAGCTCTCAGCCCGAATCGGCTTTCAATTAAGCTGCGGCGGCCAGAGCTCCCGGGGAGGACGCCGCGAGCGGGCAAGGGAGCGAGCCTCCGGGCCTGGGGCCGGGCCTGGGGGAATCCCCAGCCAGCCTGGGGGCGAGGGGGCGTAGACCCCACGGGAAAGGACAATACCCTTGCATTTTTCTTTAGTCCAGAGGAGCCCTCTTATCGGGGCCATTCTCACCTCCCGAGGTCAGCAGCCAGCTCCTTCCATTCAGCCCCAAGAATCCAGAATCTGACCTGCCAGGGGTTCTTGGACCCACTTTCCTCCAGCCCAGAAAGTCCTTAGCTCCTCCTACCACCTTTCCAGCGTCCCTGGGAGGCCTTCTCTCGTTGGGACCCAGAACCTGCCTTGACACAGGTTCTGGCCACTCTAGTCCAGGTCCCGGACCATGTATGGTCTCTAATGGGCCGGCTATAACAGCATGTAGAAACTGACGGGGAGGGGCAGGACTATATAGAGTTCCTGTTCCACTCCTGCTTCAAACACAAAGATGCCTCTTTACTAGGCCTCCCAAGACCCCATGAAAACCCCGAGGCCCAATGAAGCCTTGGTAAAGAAAGTGGGTGCTGAGGGACTGGGCCATATCCCACGCCTGGGGGAGAAAAGAGATTACCTTGCAAGCTGAGCCCCTGTCACAAAGTGGAAGCATCTGAAGGGGATCCCGGATGGAAATGAAGTCTCCCCCACCCTGACTTTGCTCCCTGAGCACGGAGTCCGCATGCCACGCGCTGCCGCAGACTCAACTTTGCCAAACCCCCTCTCCCTGCAGCCAAAGCCCGCGGGGGAGGGGGCGGTTGCCCAATGAGGTGACCCCAGGGTCACTGGGGAGATGGATGAGTTGGTCAGCTGGTAGCTCTGGTTCCTGTATGCCACTCAGCCCCCAAGAAAAAATGGGGAAGGGGTGTCTCAGACAAAGGATCAGGAACCCTGGTGTCCCCAGCCTTCCCTGCGGCCACTTGGCCCTGACTGGAATCCAGGATAGAGGACCTCAGAATCGAAGCTGCTAGAGTCTGGAAGACCCCACTCTTTCAGCTCTTGAGGCCTTTCGGTCCACCCCCAGAGAGGTCCACGGGAGTCTCAGCCCAGAGGGTCAAGCAATGCAGGGGGTGGGGGGAGCGTTGGAAGGCGCTGAGCGCAGACAGCAGGCGCGGGAGGCGCGCTAGTGCGCAGGGGACGCAGCGCCGCTGGAGGGTGGGGGGTGGGGGCGGCTGACAGCCGTGATGGATGGCTGAGACCGCTGGGGGGCGGCGGGGGGCCTGCGAGCCCGAGGGGGTGGCTGGCCCCAAGACCTCGGAGCAGGAAGACCGCGGAGGAGGGCCGGGGGAGAGCGGGAGCAGCAAAAGGACTTGCTCGGAGCCCCTCTGCTCCTGGCCATCTCCGCACCCACCGCAGCGCGTCCGCAGTGTCCGCGCCGCGGCGCCTGGGATTCAGTTGCTGGGACCCCATTTCTGAGGCCTCACTAGGAAAGCTATCAGAGCTAACTAAAAAGACTACCCCCTGCCCCGCCCTGGAAACCACACTGTCGCCCCAGGTTACCAAGGGGAGGGGGGAAGGGAAGAAAGGAGGGTGATCTTGCTTCCCGTCCTGAACAGGAACCCATGGGGAAGCGAGAGGGAGAGGGAGATTCCTTAAAGTAAAACTGAAAAATCCACGGAAAAGATAGCTTCAGTCTGAGGTTGGAGCTCGGGAAGCCTTGGGGGAGGGGGTCCGGATTGCACCAAGTGTCCCCTTAAGGGAATGCCGCAGCCCAGACGGGGGCTGTCATATGCCCCCAAATCCCCAGAGCTACCTTTCCCCCCACCTTCCAGCTAGAAGTCTCAGAGCAAGAGACTGCAGCAGACTGCGCCCCCCGGCACCACCAGCCCCTGCTCTGCGCCAGGACGCCAGGGTCCCCTCTCCGGGAAAGGAGCCTTCCCGCCCGTCGAGCTGCATGTCAGCCCATTCTGGCTCTTCCATTCCCTTCCCACCTCCTCCTCGGTTTAGCTAACCTAAGTCTGTCCCCAGGCCGCGGGTAACAGCCCTTCGGCCCCAGCTCTGCCCCCGGGCGCGGCGCATTCCAGCACCTCGGACAGCGCATAGCGCATTCCAATGGAGCTGAGCTCCAGGCCGCCGCCGGCGTCCACCGCCCGGTCAGTCCTAAGCTCTTCCCTAAAGGAAGCCGCCCCCGCTCCGCCTCTCACCCAGCACTGACTCCCTTCCTCGCCGCCCCCTCCCCCGCCGCCCCCGGACCACTGCTCACCCGGGTTGGCTCCCCCGTCGCCGTCCTCGCAGTCCGTCAGGTTGTTTAGCATGGTGGCGGCGCGGCGCCGGGCCGGGGATGGCTGCGCCGCTTCGCTCGCGCCCCTCTGCCCGCCTTCGCCGCTCTCTGGCTCGCTCTAGCTCTCTCGCTCGCTCGCTCGCTCGCTCTCCGCTCCACAGAGGAAGGAGCTGCAGTGCCCGCCCGCCCGCCCGGCGCACACACACTCGCACACGGACACACGCTCACACCCGCGCGCGCCCCCTCTCAGCAGCGGCGCTGCTCACCTCATCCCGTATGCAGGAGGCGTGAGCCACTGGCGGGGTTTTTTGGGGGGGAAGCTGTAGGGAGGGAGAAGAGGGGACGTGGGGGGCGGGCAGAGCGCGACTGTTGGCCCCCTTACAGGAAAACGGGGGCGTGAGCGGGTGGGATAAAGGGGTTGCGGCGGGGGACGGGCCCTCTCCTCCCCTGAGCAGCCGCAGCTCCCCCCACTCTCCAGCGCAGGCGGGGCCCGGCACGTGGGCAGGTGCCATCCCGCGCCCTAAAAATAACGGCAGGGAACTAGGTCGCGGCCGCCGGGAGGCGGCCCCGCAGCGGCTGCCTGACTGGGGGTCTGAGGTGACCCCCAGAGGGAAGATGAGGTGGCAGGGTGGGGGAGCGCCATGGAATATGGGGCCCTAGGGAGCCTGTCTGCAAAGCTGAAGAGGCCAGCCCTGAAGGGAGGAGGAGAATCAGACTCTCATATCGCTATTCAAGAGGTTAGAGGTGGAGACACGCAGAACCCAGGGCCCCAAAGTGAAGCACTGTGCTGCACCCCGGAAGGGGTTTGGGTCACTGATTGTCTGACCCATCCTATCTTAAAATGGATGGGGTGGAGCCCTACTAGTTACAGTGCACTCTCATTATGCTTAGACTGACAGGAGTCTCAGCACCGGCACCCACCCACCCACCCAGGACAAGTCTCTGGACTCTGCAGACTGGGACTTTCTGATGGTAGAATGATCTGGGGATGAAAATGATCAGGAGAACAGACAGCAATGATGTTCCAGGGAGCACTGACTTTCCACCAGGGATGGTGCAGCCTCTAGGGAGGGCACTCTGGCCTGAGGCTGGCCAGAGACAGGGTGGGGGAGGGGGGAATGAGGCCGCCAGTCAGTTGGGGACCAGATTTTCTCCTGGGGCAGGAGTGTCTAATCCCCTAATCCAGGATTGCTTTCTGGGCTTCCACAGCTAACATGCTCTCTGTGTTTCTCCCCCCTCTCCTGAGATCAGGTCCCAGAAGCTTGATCATCCTGGAACCCCTAGAATACAGGTTTGAGTCAGTGTTGGAGAAATCTCAGAAACTGGCCCCAAAGCTTTAAACCCTTTAAGTGTCTGGAAGGCCTAAACATGTGAAGGAATGAACAAATTAAGGAAAGATATTTTCAAACTCACCTTAACACCAAACACTAGTCCTCTAAATTCCAGGAGAGTTATAGGACCAGAGAAGTATTATTTTTCTTATCTAATACACAGCTTTCATTTTTACAGATGAAAACACTAAGGACCAAAGAGGGGCAATGATTGCCTAGTTCATGGGCAGAACTCTAGAATCCAGTTCCCTTCACTCCAATTTAGGGCTCTTATCCTTGGAAGAACTTTCTTTGAACTAGTCTTTCCTTCAATAGAAGAGACAGCATATAGCATCTCATATGGCTACTAGCTCCTTTAAAAAAGGAACAGATATTGGGTCTGATGAGCCCTTTCCTTTTTATGCTCAGGCTTCAGAGATTCCAAGCTGGAATGGACTCTTGATTTTCAATGGAAAGGAGACCCAGAAGACCTTCAGGGGTCCTAAAGAGCCTTCCATATCCACAGAGACCCCTTTCTAAGACAGGACCATTCAGAACCATGGACAAGGCTCACTGCTCCAATTCTGATACAAATTTGTCCAGGACTTCAGACAAGTCAGTGTTCAGTTGCTGACTCAAAGATGCTTCCGAGGCACCCACCAACAACATATTGCTGCCACTTGGTTTTGAAGGGTCTGATGTTGACACTAACCCTTTAGGGTGGAAAGTTAGCTATTCAGTCGAGGTATGCACATTGGTATTCTGGGTTGGAAGGGGACACACAAAAAAAGGTGAGATGATTTAGGATTGTGAGAGGGATTAAAAGGGTAGTAGGTGGGGAAGGCCAGTGTTCAAGAATTCCCCAGTGCTCCACTACTACTGCCACCAGCAGTAGTACACTACGGTATTCCATTACTCTGTGGAGATGTGTGACATACTAAAAACATGTCAAGTGTGTTTGTCTAAGTGCTATGGAATAAAGCAGATGCTGTAGTTTTCAGCATCTCAGGTCTGCAACATTCCCCTGGGGTTATTTCCTTTAATGTGTGGCCCAGAGCTAGGGTAGCTCTGACTACTTGGAGCCAAACCATGGGGACACCCAGGTCCCTGGGGAGTTCAGGTGAAGGTAGAAGTGATTCCTCCTCCCCTGGCCACCCCATCTGTCCACCCTCACCAGAATTCTGATCTCAAGAGCCATATGGAATTCAGGAGGTAGTGGAATTCTGTGTATTTCTGGGGAAAACCAAGTTCTTTTCTCTGAGCCTCAATATCTCATTTGTAAAACAAAAGGGCTAGGCTGCATAATCCTATTTCCTCCTGCTCCATATTAGCCTCCGACTAAAGCCACAGAGCCCAGACCTGAAAGGGGACATCGCAAGGAAAGACCTCAATCCTTCAGTTTATGTCCCTTACCTCCCAGGGAGACTGGGCCCTAACCTAGCCTCATGGTGAGGGTTTGAGAAAACGCTTGCAGGCACCTCCTACACTGCCAGCCTGGCACTGGCCGGCAAGAAGTAGCCCTCATCTCTGAACCCCAGGGACCCAGCTGCCTGCTCAGCAACGCTTCCTTGCCCAGAGGAGGGTCTGATGCTGAGGAACCCCTCATTAAAGCAACACAAGATGCAGAGCTGGGTGGGGTCCTATTTTGAACTCTGAATCATACCCCCTCCCACCTTATGTTTCCCAGAGGTGGGGGAAGCTCAGAGAAGCTGCCCCCTGGGTATCAGGATTTGGGGACTGGAAGAGACTTTTTAGAATATCTTCCCCACCACCACTTCCAGTGAAATTGGAATCTGGGAATGGAAATGGGACGGAAAGAATTTTCTTCATGGGGTGAACTTGTGACAGCGGGGACTAGTGACCTCTATCCCAGGCTCCATTCATTGAACCAGGACAGGGAACTGTCAGGAGGAACCCGGAACACCTGACTGGGTCCTTTCCCCTCAGAAAGCAGACAGTGTTCCCCGCAGGGCTCAATTCTTATCCTTCCTTGTCTCGTGACATCACCCCATGACCTACCTACCTCCCCTCAGCTGTGGCCTCATGGAGCCGAGGTCCTGAGCCCCCTCCTTCACGCTTCTTCTCTCCCACCTGCATAGCCCGTCTTCCAGACCCGGAAGCCCAGCAGTGACTCGGTGAGTCCAGCACCCCGCACACCCCACACGGGGCTCGCCGCAGAGCACGTCAACCACCACTGTCTCCGTGGCAACCGGGGGCTTAATTAACAGGCTGCAGCCCCGTCGCCATAGAAACAGCACCCCCAACAGCCCCCCACTACACTGCAGATTCAGCCCATCTTCCCTGATTCCCAATCTGAACCCCTTCATGCACCCACCCCGACTCCCACCCCACCAGGAAAGCTAAGGCCTGCAGATCTCTCTGGTTCATTGAGAAGAGAGGAGGGGGATGAGAGAGGAGAGAGAGAGAGGGAGAAAGAGAGAGAGAGAGAGACCTGTCACCATGGCAACTGCAGCCCGTTCATAACCAGTTTGTTGCCATGGAGATTCCCAGGGCTCACCTTGGGCTGAGGTACTGGGCAATGAGGCTCTGAGTCCTGGCTTAGGATGAACAACTAGAGAACTCCTTGGACAGAGAAGATCCCTCTCCCCCCCCCCTCTCTCTCTCTCTCTCTCTCTCTCTCTCTCTCACACACACACACACACACACACACACACACACCAGTAATAGTAACAGCATCATTTTTCCCAATTTACAGTTGGAGAGAGTGAAACATGAGGTTTGGGTCTGGAGGAGGCAGATGGCTCTGCCCTTCTAGATCCTTAAAACCTCTTGGCATCTTTTTGGCTAGAGGGGTGCTCAGAAAGCTTGTGTCATGCTTTATACTACAGGTAGGTGACCCGAGACCCAGAGGGGAAATGCCAAGGCCAGAGCACAGAGCCGGAGCTGGAGATGGCTGGGCTGTCTTGTAGTCTTGCCCTCTCCCCCTGTCTCCATCCGTGGGCACACATCCCAACTCCTGTAGTCTCCCCAGGTCCTGAGTTCTTTCTGGGAGGTATAAAAGGGCCGGGGAATAGCTCAGCATTGTAACAACCTGTCCCAAGTCCAATTCTCTCCAGCCAGATCCCATCAGTCTTCCCATGGTGCAGGTGGGGCAACTGGGCAGGTGGCCCAGCCTTGGACTTGGTTCCTCACCACCTGTAGGTCAAACTGCTGACACCTGAAGCTGGAAGCACGACGAAGGGAAAACCCCGCCCCCTTGAACAGAGTAATCGACACACACATGGGCTCTGCAAGATCTCCTCCAAACCTCCCACACCTGTAGTGCTGCCGCTTCTCCCTTTGTGCCCAGGGACAAGAGTAGGGAGAGCATCTCTCTGGGACCAGAGGGCTGATGCAAGAACAGCTGTGGAAAAGATACCACCAGAGGCTCGTTCCCCTGAGGAGCCTCGTCTAGTTCCCACTGAGTGACCTTCAAGCAGGTGTGCGAGGCTGCAGAGATTAAGAGGTTAAAAGTCACCCACTCTCAAGATAGAACTTTTCATACACTCAGGTCCCTCCCCCCAAGAAAGACACAGAAACATACACACCAACATGCCAATCAGCACACTGGCAATGCAGTAACACACATAAGCCCTGACTCACCAAGCACCACAGGGATCTCCCTTTTCAGGACACACACACACACACACCCAAAGCCTCTACCACAAGCACACGGCATCCAAGAATCACATCCATTTTGTATGCACATCTGCACACCAGAAACCTGAGGAGTGTGTCTCACTTCCATAGTACAGAAGCTTGGGAGTGTGAATGAGAAGACTAAGCTGTCACCTTGGGACACAAGAGAGGGTCATCTTATTCCCAGGTCAGGGATACAGAAGGAGGTAATAAGGTAGGGGAA